ACGTCCCAAGGCGCTGTACAGTTGGGTCAGGACCCGAGCAAGGGGGAAATGGTCAGGGTGAGGGGAGGGAAGGGAGGGAGCGAGGAGGGGGGAAATGGTCAGGGTGAGGGGAGGGAAGGGAGGGAGCGAGGAGGGGGTAGAGAGTCGAGAGGGGAGCTGAAGGCACGGTCAAAGAGAAAGGTCTTGAGACCGGCCTTGAAGGAGGAATGGGAGGAAACTGGGGGATAGAGTTCCAGAGCCTGGGGGCTGAGAGGCTGAAGTCCCGGCCACCGATGGTAGGGCGGTTAGGGCGGGGGATGTGGAGCAGACCGGAGCCAGAGGAACGGAGGGTACGGGCAGGTAGGTAGGGGGATAGTAGGTTGGAGAGGTAGGAGGGAGCGAGGCCGTGAATGGCCTTGTAGGTGAGAATGAGGATCTTGAATTCGATCCTCTGGGGGATGGGGAGCCAGTGGAGGCGAGCGAGGGTGGGAGTGACGTGGTCCCGAAGCCTGGTGCGGGACAGTACACGAGCTGCAGAGTTCTGAATGACCTGCAGCTTGTGGAGGGAGGTGCCGGGAAGGCCGGCGAGGAGAGAGTTCCCATAGTCCAGCCTTGAGGTGATAAAGACATGGACCAGGGTTTCAGCAGCGTGAGGGGTGAGGTAGTGCCGTAGTCTGGCGACATTCCGGAGGTGATGGAAGGCGGTGCCAGTTGTGGCGCGGATATGGGGGAGAAAGGACAGCTCAGGGTCGAACAGAACGCCGAGGTTCCTGACTGGCTTTGAGAGGTGGAGAGTGCAGCCTTGGATGCTGATGCTGTCAGCGCCTGAGGTGCGGAGGCGCTGACGCGACCCAATCAAGGGTGAGGATCTTGAAATCGATCCTCTCTGGGACCGGCAGCCAGTGCAGTCTGGCAAGGACTGGAGCAATCGGGGAGTGGAGTTTGGTGCGGGTGAGAATGTGGGCGGCAGAGTTTTGAATGATCTGGATTTTATGAATGGTAGTGGAGGGGAGACCGGTGAGGAGGGCGTTAGAATAGTCCAGCCGAGAGGTGACAAAGACACAGACCAGGGTTTCAGCAGCTTTCGGAGAGAGGTATTGGTGGAGATAGGCGATGTATCGGAGGTGGAAGAAAGTGGTGCTGGTGAGGGACTGGATGTGGGGGAGAAAGGATAATTGGGGGACGAACCTGACTAACTTTCTTATTAATATATCATGTGCAGTTCAAAATGAACAATATATTTATTATATATCATGCCATAACAGAATTGTACCAACAGGATGAATCGGTTGTACAACTTTAGTGCCACACGTTTGCAACTTGACATAAACAGGCTAGCAGAATGATCGGATCGATGGCAAATTAAATTTAATGTAGAAAAATGTGAAGTAACAACAATAATTTGCATTTATATAGCGCCCATCACACAGGGTAGCTGCCCAGAGCGCTTGACAGTGACGGAGCACAACAATGAGCCCGAGGGAGGTGATAGTAAGCACAGTCGAAGAGGAAGTCTTCAGGTGCGACCTGAAGATGGGGAAGGAGGAGGCAAGGCAGAGGGATTGAGGGAGTGTTCCAGAGTTTCAGGGCACAGTGACTGAAAGCGTGGCCACCGACGGTGCAGACACAACGGATAGTGGATTGCGGAGTAAGCAGGTAATTCACTTTGGCAGGAAAAATAAAGAAGCCATCTATAGTCTAGATCAGGTATGGCCAACTTGCAGCCTGTGGGCAGCGTGACTATTTTATTCATAGTTAATGCAGCCCGCATGCAGCCCGCAAGTTGACCAGCCCTGGGCTAGGTGGTAGGAACCTTAGAGGAGTGGAGGAGCAAAGAAATTTGGGGATTCAGATCCACAAATCTCTAAAAAGCCAGTGGGATCTTGGGCTTTATATCCAGAGGCATAGAATAGAATATAAAAGTGAGGAGATGATGTTGAATTTGTACAAAACCTTGATCAGACCAAATTTGGAGTATTGTGCCCAATTCTGGTCTCCACACTATAGGAGCGAAGGAAAGAGTACAGCATAGTTTTACGAGGATGAGACAAGGCTGCCAGGTTATTGCAATCAGGAGAGACTGGATAGGTTGTGTCTTTTTTCGCTGGAGAAAAGACATTTAAAGGTAATACCTAATAGTATTCTTTAAAAATATAAAAGGGTTCGATAAGGTCAACTTAAATTGGCTGTTTCCACTGGTTGGGGAGTCTGTAACTGCGGGACACAAATATAAGATAGCGACAAAGGGATCAAAAAAACAATTTAGGAAGACTACTTCACGCAGAGAGTAATGCCTCCTCCACCGCCTCTCCTCGCTCATCCACCTTAGTAGGAATGCACTCGCATGGTTCGAGTCCTATTTAACCAACCGCCTCCACTTCATCTCGGCAAATGGTTTCTCCTCTTGCCCCTGCCGGTCACCTGTGGGTAACCCAGGGCTCCATCCTTGGCCCTCTTCTTTTCTTAATCTATATACTCCCTCTGGGTGATGTCATTCACAGACACGGGGTGAACTTCCACATGTATGTGGATGACACACAAATCTACTTTGCCTCCTCCAGTACCAACTCCAGGTCTGCCAATGTTCTATCAGTTTGTCTAGCATTCATCAAGGCCTGGATGAGTGTAAACTTCCTGCACTCCCTGGCACCTCCCTACCTCTCCGACCTCCTCACTCCCCAATCCACCACTCGCCTCCGCTCGACTGGCAACGAACGGCCTCCTGCTAGTCCCTCACACGCTCCGCACCACTATTGGAGGTCGCACTTTCAGAAACTCTGGAACACTCTGCCTCAATCCCTCCACCTTGCCCCCTCTTACCTTTTACAAGTCCTGCCAGAAAACCTTCCTTTTCAACTGTGCTTACAGTCACCTCCCGCGCTCCCCCCCCCCCCCCCGCCCGGTGTCAGGTTCTGCCACTACCCTGCGTGGAGGGCGCTATATAAGTGCAAGTTGTTGTTGTAGTGAGATTGTGGATTTGCTGCCTGAAATAGTGGTTGAATCAGATAGTATAGATGCATTCAAGGGAAGCTAAACCTCCATATGAGGGAGAGGTGAATAGAAAGGTGTGGGAGTGAGTAAGGAATGAGTGGACACTTGTGTAGAGTATAAACACTGGTTGGGTCGAGTGGCTCATTTCTGTGCTTTACATTCTTTGTAAACTTGAAGTAAAAATGCTTCCAGCACCACCTAGAGGAGCATTTATTGCAAAACACCTGCATTATTTTGATCCATGAAAGGCTCTAAAGACATTCCATATAATGCCTTATCAGGTGGGTTAAAACATCTCAAAGAACTTCATAGGATTTACTGTAAAGTGTAGTTTTAGGCAAACACAAAACAGCAATGTCCCATGAAGTGAATGAACAATTTTATTTCGATGATTAGGTGCCTAANTTTTTTAAAATGACCTCAGTAAGGACATTGAAGAGGTTACAGAACTTCACTACTGGAATCTCTTCAATGTCAAATGTCCTTATTGTAATATGGAAATTAGAATTTTGAACAGTAATCATTAGAACATAGGAAAACAGGAAAAGGATGTTATTCAGCCCATCTAGGCTTTCCACCAGTTTATTCGATCTAGTCAGATCTTTTTAATCCAATGCCTTGCCATTCACTATATCCCTTTATATCTCTTCCATATCTACAATGTACATTGTCCCGACGCTTTGCAATATAAGTGAAATGCTTTGAGACATCTTCCTAACATGAAAGGTTCTATTTTAAATGCAAGGATTATGATTACTATTCATATATCTATCAATATGGAAAGCTAGATGGGCTGAATAACTCCCCCTGTTCCCGTTTTAATAAGTTCCAATGTTCAAAGGTTTCCTTTATCCCATTTGCGACGTCCAAGACCAAGTAGTGATATCGAAAAAGGGAATTGATTGTAGGGGTTCCTACACTGTTGCTGAGCGCCCTGGAGGCAGAATTAGCTTACAGTGAGCATATCTTTTTGCCAAGGTTCCTCACGTCAGGACCTGAATTAAGCGGTTGGTGTTGAGTAAAACCTGGTACTTGTCATTAGAGCTAGACCTTGAGAACATCAAGGTGGCTGTCCTGTAAAGGTCCTCTCACCACACTGAAGGCAGATACCCGCTAGAGAGCTGATGAGGAAAGTCTGAGGCTTGGGCAACAGCTTCTGGAAGGCGTTACCTGGCGTCTGAGTTCGGAAACACACATTCGTACATCCAACACCTGGAATCTACCTCGATTGGCCTGCAGTGAGGCAAGTAGCTGCTGCTTAAACTCCAGGGAAGGGATGTGTGCCCAAGCTGCAGATAGGAAAATGGTGACAATTCTCTCATGTATTTTACGAAGTGAGCTGGAATGCTGCGGTGGCACTGATGGCATGGTCGAAGAGGAGGGTCTTGAGGCGGGACTTGAAGGAGGCTAAGGAGGGGGCGAGGCGGAGTGATTGGGGGATGGAATTCCAGAGGTTGGGGGCAGAGTGGCTGAAGGCTCTCCCGCCAATGATGGGGCGGGTGGGTCGGGGGACGTGGCGCAGACCAGAGCCGGTTTTAGTTTTTTTTTAATACATATAGCTTTAGGCATATTTCTGCAATCTTTGCTGCTGCCGCAGGCCGCCCTCTGTTGCTAGCGGTTACCAAAAGCGCCGACAGCTGACCTTTACCAAGATGGCGGCCGCTTGGCTTCAGGAGAGGGTCGTGCACACGTCCGAGCTGCGCCACAGGACGGAGGGAAAGCGCCTCGTCTGAGCGGTGCGGCGAGGAGACTGCGCAGGTGCGTCAAGCGGGGCGGGTGTTGGGGAAGAATGGGGGGAAACAAATCCACCGTTAAAGTGCTCGAGAAGCGCAGTGCGGCGGGAGGATTGAAGCCCTTCACACCGATGAGTCTGCGCAGTAGGACCGGACCTGGACAAGCGGCTGTGTGTCGGCCCGCGACGGCTCTCTGGGGGACTGAGCCTGCGCAGGTGTGCCCAAGGAGAGGCGGGGCTGGGGACAGCAGCGTGGTGGCGTGAGGTGAGCCTGCGCAGTGTGACGGAGGAAAGGGGAGAAGGTTGTGAGTCTGCGCAGTGCGGCTCAGTGTGTTCGGTTACCAAGGAGAAAGCGGCGGAGCGACGGAGGGAGCGGAGTGTGAACATAAACAGAGCGGCCGCACCGCGACCCTTCCCGGCCTCCCCCCCCCCCAAAAAAAAACACACACGCACACACACACACAGAGGGCACCCCATCGCCCCGGCATGAAGGTGAGCACTGCCGACCGGCGGCCGAGGGAACATCCCCAGCAACGACTTCGGTCCGTTGCGGGCGACGGGGAGGGAGGGAGGGAGGGGAGAGAGAGACAGCGGCGGGTTTAACCCCGGGGGTTGGGGGGTGGGGAAGGCCACACTCGAGAGAGTGGCGTGTGTTGGACATCCTGACAGAGAGGGGATGTGCCAGTCGGCCTGACACCTGGGAGGAGAGGCCATTTGTCAGTCAGTCAGTGAGTGAGTGAGTGAGTGGAGGTTACCTGTGTGATCAGCTCAGGGACTGAGCTGTCTGCTCAGTACCATGTCCCGATGCTCGGCTTCAGTAAAGCTGCCTCTGGCAGGTTTGGGAGCTTCTGGCAATTCTTCCGGTAGTTTTCCCTCACCTCCTCCTCCTCCTCCTCCTCCTCCCAAAGCATTTGACGGTAAGATCCACGGTTGACCGACCGGCGGACACCCTGCGATGGGCTTCCATTTCATTCCCGACTGGGGAAAAAAAAGTCTGATCTTGTTTGGCTTCTGTCGGTGACACTCAGCGGTGTTGTACAGGGGGCGGAGAGGAATGTCCAGCAGTACGTTGTGTGTCAGTTGCTGATGTTTTTCGAAAGGTCCTGAAGCGTCTATCGTAGGCGCTCTGGGACGCTATCCTGTGCCATTGGTCGCTGTATAAATGCAGGTTGTTGTTTTATGAAGTCTGACAGTCAGGAGAGGAATGGTTCGGAGTGACTATTGGGGGTGATTTATTGTGATCCAGCCTCATGACTCATGGCTGCTAATTTATTGATCGGTAATACTGTGTTTCCCAGCAAGTTAAATGTTATAATTCATCATTATTTCATTCTTTTGTACCCTATATATATGTGTGTGTGTGTGTGTGTATGTTTATATCATTTATTGTGAGCATATTTTGATTGAAACTAATCATAGAATCATAGAATCGTGCAGCACAAAAAGAGGCCATTCTGCCCATCGAGTCTGTGCCAGCTCTTTGAAAAGAGCAATCAATGTCGATCCCACTCCCCAGCCCTTTCCCCATAACCCTGCAAACACGTCCTCCTCAAATACCCGTCCACCGCGTTTTTAAAAGTTGTTATCGAATCGGCCTCCACCACCCTTTCAGGCAACGCGTTCCATCATATATATCATCAATATATCATAACTTTTAACCCAACAGCACAATGGACAAATACACCACTGGAATTTATATAATTCAGACCAAGGTCATCTGTTAAATATTTCTCCCTTGCTAGTAGTATGAGTCAAAATAAAATGAGCATGAACTGCTAAATTAGTAGCATTAAAAATCCAGAATTTTGGAACTAAATTATATTAAACTCTCGCTCAGATGTCAGATATGGGGAAGTAGAACATTTGCACTGTTCCAGTATAGGATTACTTTTCTGGGGATAGCATTAAACCACATGGTAGACACAGAATATAGGGAACAGAATATAGTCTCTGTCTCAATCCACACTGCAGCTGACCTCAAGAGTGTTTGATGTCAGCACTGCAACAACTTGTGTTTACATAGCACCCTTCACACAAGCTCGTGCTTAACAGAGCACTTAACAGTGGCGGAGTTTGATACTAGATATCGATATATTTGTAGTTTAAAATGTGATATGTGTGGGGAGGACAAAGGATGTATTCAGTCAACCAGCATTATGATGTAATTTATTTGTTTGCCATGTTTGTTTGTACTTTATAGTCTTGCTGCAGAAAACGATCACAAATTTGAGCTTTAGAGTTAACTTTCGTAGTTGCCTAGGCTGAAAATCTTCAGGGTCTTTTCTATTTGTGTGTGTCTTTTGTGTGTGTGTATGTATTTTGTTGCTCAATTTTTTTTGCTGAATTAATAGTAATAATAATCCTTGCATTTGATTTACTGTCTTATCGAATTGTTGAGATGTCTCAAATTGCTTCACAAAATCTATTGCAAAGTGGATAGATTGTGTATTTTGTGTTCACAGATCATATTATTATTACTTTTAATTAACAGTTGTGGAGACTAAACATAATAATCACAGATATAGGTATTTGATTGTCAATGGTGATGAAATCAAAAACAGTCTGTTTCTATTGGATTGTACAGAAAATCCTCTACGTATGAATGTGATTTAGAAGTGCTTGGTGCTGGGGGTTGGAAACTTTCACTATAGTTTTTTGGGAATTGGGAAGACTGGAGTATTGAAATGTGAATCCAAGCAGAAGAAAAGGAAGTTTTATTAGGTAACAGCATTGTTACGCAATCTATTTGTCTATACTTTTTTTTACTTTAAAGTTAGAGCCATGAGAAGAATATTTGAGCCTTTGATTTATGTTTAGAATATATCTTATAATAATCTTTATTTTTATTATTATAAGGTACAGCCTAAACATAAGGTATAGACAAATAGATTTGGATTGTTCAAATCAAGATTGAAAACTAATGTCGAGGCTGTGATAGTTAAAATACAATCTGGTTTGCTGTGAGATATTAAATTCAGGATATAATCAGCCCCCAAAAACGTTTGACTTGTGATAAGCTCTGGAACACTTAATCTGTGAAAAGTAATACAGTATAAGTCACTTTTCAACCCTATGTGTAAGTAATTTTTTAATTTGCAAATGAAGACTCTAGAATCTTTCCATATTACATTTATATTTACATATCCTGAGTGTATGCAAGGAGAGGAAAGCATTGACTGGTTACAAGGCAACCTGGCAGGATGGGTTATTTTTAAGGAAATGTGAGAGAAAATAGATGAGGCTCTTGTAAAAAAAAATTAAGGAGTTCCACAAGCTGTGAAAAATAATAAATGTTATTTAATTCAAAATGCATAAAGCTATAAACCAGTTATCCCAACATTTGTGGGTTGGGGCAAGTCTTGACAAACTCATCATTTAACAATCCTGCTCATCGTGTCTGTGGTAGTGCTCATTCCTTGGACTTTGCTTAAAAACAACCGGCTTCTGTGGGACGCTGCTGTGCGCAATTGGCTACCGCGTTTCGCCCACAAATATACAGTCAATTTACTTTACAGCATATTCTGTGAAGCGCTTTGAGACGTCTAGAAGACGTGAAAAGCGCTATATCAAATGCAAGGATTATATTATATTAACAATGCATCATGGTGTTTTATGTGCTTGGGACTGGGCTTGAATTGTGGGATCCTATTAATTTTTCGTAAGTGTCTGTTTAACTATTTTTAGTGTTTAATGTGTGTGAGCAGAACGTCCTCCTGGTGAAAGTTTTTGAGTTTTGGCAGGAGTGGGCTGAATACAATTCTTGCTTTCTTCTGTTCTTAACTTGATTAGTTATATTCAGCTATTGCATGTTCAATAGGCAGGTAATAAATTAGGCTTTTTTAGGAATTCATATTTAGCTATTTATTCAATGGGAGCAGAGTGGGAAGAATTCCTGTCCCTCTTAAGACCTGCCAATGCGCCAGGCTGGCTGGTGTGTCATCAGCTTTGTGTCACAAAACAGCCATGATGTGAATGACCAATTTTATTTGGGGGATTGTTGACCAGGACACTGGAAGAAATTAGAGTACTGCAGACCTGCCCGACTAAGGATCCGGTTTACCGAGAGAGCAAGGTGGACTCAATTCCAGCTTTCTGCTGCTAAGCAAGTCCAAGCACCTCAGAGCCAGTTCAACCCCAAGGATATGTGCTTCTCCTCCCACCACCCACCCCCAAAAAAGAAGTGGGGATTTGCCAGTATTGTGCATTCAGTTTTGGAAATGGGAAGTTTGGGAGCTATCAGGCAAGAGGACACGAGTGGGAACATACAAATAAATGCATCTCTTTCAGCCCATTCGTGATGTACTACAAAAGTACTACTCTACCAGAAATTGTGTTTCTTTTTTTAAAAAAAAGTATTTGGAACACAAGATCAGATTACAATATTAGTAATTCTAGTGCCTGCAGTGCTGAATCAAGGATTACATTGAGCTGAGCCTTTGGTCACCTTCCTCCCCCTCCCTCTGGCTTGGTCCCGGGATCTGTTACTGTGAAGCGCTCTGAGACGCCGTCCGGCGTGGAGGGCGCTATATAAATCCAAGTTGTTGTTGTTGTTGAGCTGACTACAGGACGTAATGTAGAACCAATTTATTAAATGTGTGACATTGAAGGAAATAGGCGCATTACTGAACTTGATTACTTTCAATGCAGCAAGATAGTTTGTAGTATGTCCTCTGTTTGTCCTAGATTGTAATCCCTCTTTAATCGTAAAGAGGGGGATTACCTTAATCAGTGCATTAGATATATATCAAGCCTTGCGTTATGTATAGTTGAGAATACTTTACATTGTTTTTAATTTTAATCTGCAATAAAATAGCCATTGCTGAATCAGTCAGTTCTGCATTACAAAATAATTGGTGGTACAGTGTAGCAAACTGGATAAATACCATACATTGAACCTTTTGATTTGTTACCTGAAATGAAAACAATAGGATTACTATTGGAGATCAGACACATATTGGAGGTTTTGCACAATTGCTTTGGAACAGCCAGATCTCCCTTGTGACTATTTAAAGACAACATTGAGTGTACTGTAATATGTGGTCTGTATGTGCCTGGAGGGATTATGTTTGGAATAGATTTAGAAACTGTCCTATATACATGCACATAGATGAAATTTTGGAAGCTTTTGTACAAAATTATTCATGTTATTCAGAAATATATATATTACCACAAACAAAAAAGAACACCTGTTTTAATTGCACTAGTGATTCTAGTAGTGAAAGATTTTCACCATTCAGTGCACTAAAAATTATCTACTTGTAATGGCAGCCAATCTCAAATTGTCACTTTCAATTGATTGTCTTGTCAAAGTTCTTTCTCGATACCTTGAACAGTTTTCTTATTAGTGAGATTGGACTTCATAAATCAGAAAAGATAGGTTCTGCAACTAAGTTTTTACTTTCAGCCTGAACCTCAGCCTGGTTTGAAACAACAGCACACTTTTTACCACTAGATTGATTCAGGATCATAAAACTGAAGTGATCTTATTTGCATGCAATTGGTAACGAGGGGTCATAAACTCACAATTATATCTGGGAGAGATAAGGGAGCAGTTAGAAGCAACTCTCACGGAGGCAATTATTAGAACATTAAATATTTTACGACAAATAGCTATTAAAGTTGAAATGTTCAAAGAGAATTGGAAATGTTCAAAGAGAATTGGATAAGCATTTAGAGAGGAATACTTTAGAAGGATTTGTTAAAAAGCAATGAATTAGAATAATGAGCTCCGTGGGATTAGATACCATGTTACACTTGAGAGCCAAAGTGCCCCCTTCCGAATAAAAAATAATACAGTGGAAGCCGGTTAAGCTGGATACGCCTGGGCCGGCCGTTTTGTCTGTCTTAACCAAAGTTTCATGATCTCGTCCCACCAAGCGTGGCGCCGCCTCCTTGCGATTGACGTTCCCATTGGATGGGAAGGGGACCAATTAGCGACGGCTCCGAGGTGATTGACAGCTTGAAGCTGCTTGTGAATGGATGGGCAGCCATTCACAAGCGGCTCCAGCTGTCAATCAATCATGATTTGACTCCTCCCATTCTCATGTCTTCCCCATTTCTTGCCCCTCACTGATTGACAGCCCAACTCCAGCTGCTTGTGAATGGCTGCAGTCCGCTGTCAATCAATCGTAATGTGACTCCACCCATCTCCATCCTGGAGCCACCCGTTGCTGAATGGAGCAGTTCACACTGGCACCTCCCTACCTCTCCACTCTGCGCGCTCCATTCCACTACCTGCCGCCTTCGTTCAACTGGCGCAGGTTTTCTGGACGTCTCTCGTCCCCTCTGCTACACCATTGGCAGCCATGCTTTTAGCCACTATGCCCCGAATTTCAAAGTCTATCTCAATCCCTCCATCTTTCCATCTTCAAATCACACCTGAAAACTTTTCTAAGAATAATAATCCTTGCATTTGATATAGCGCTGTTTACATCTTCTAGACTTCTCAAAGTGCTGTAAAGTGAATTGACTGTGTATTTGTGGGCGAACGCGGCAGCCAATTGCGCACCACAGTGTCCCACAAACAGTCATCAGTTGAAAATGACCAATTTATTATTGTTTTGTTTTGGAGGGATTATTATTAGGCTCTGTGTGGAGTAAGGAAACTTGCCCAAGGTTTCGCCCTGTCTGGAATTGAACCCAGGTGTCTCACTTGCAAGGCGAGTAATGTTTATGAAAATTGCACTCAATTCAAGAAATAAGGAAGACCAGATCTATAGTTGGTAACAGTGTTCTTTGTTATAAGATTGGCTTCAGAAAAGCTGATGTTTAATCTGAGAGTGCAATTTGCACAAACCATTCCTTCAGATAGAATGTTTTTATTGTCCCTGTGGGCTCCACAGCAATTGGAATTGCCTCGTGACTGCATTGATGTGAATGTTTGAAATCTATATGAGCGGTGAAAACAATAAAGCCTGCAAACATATTGAGATAAAAAACTGATGGAAGAATTTTGAACAAAAAAAATTGTGAGAAGGAAATTGAGAACAGAGTGAAACTTAAATTCTGAAGCAAATGAGAAATAAATGTAAAAATTATCTGTTCATTACATTACTGAAGAAACAGTATTATCTCTTGTCTCATTCTTTCTCAATTCTGAACCTCTTAAGGGTATATCTAAATTATAAAACTTACAATAATAAAAGATAATGAAATGTTGTTGGAGTAAGAAGGTAATAAAAGTTTACGTTTATAGAATACCTTTCACATAAACAAAATACAGATGGATTAATTGAAGCGAAGTGAATGTTCTGGGGGCTAATGAAACAGTGAAGAGACAGATGAAGCAAAACAAAATTGAGGAAATATTTTTAGCATTATAATGTGCTTTTTTTGCTTTAAAGATTGTTTTGTATTAGACTTAACAACTGCATTTTAAATATTAACCAATTTGATTCGACATTGATACTATATTAGAAAAATATCTGCCTCACATTTAACAAACAAGTCCCATCTTAATCTCTGCTGTCACATGTTGTTGCCTATCCCTTTAAAAAGTGCCAGAGTGAATGTGCATGAATGATAAGATTCCTTCCAGCAAAATTTATAGACTATTAATAACTTGAACAAAGTACTCAAAATTCCTGATGGCTGAGCGGTCTTTTCACATTTAATTCTTTAAAATTCTAAGATGGTTCTATATCAGAAACATCCAATACCATTCTTGGAAGGATAGATTAAAGATCATCACAATCCTTGCTTGAGGATCACAATGGACTTTAATCCTACCACTAGGAATGGCAATTTCATTCTTCACCAGCTACCAGATTTGAATATTATTTTAAACATTAAAGGATCACTTCACCTTGTAGGCATGAATTCCTCCATTCTCTTGTTCAGTGTTTTTTAAATCATGACTGCCGTAATGTGAAAAAATCGAGGGAGAAATTCTCCAGAAGTCCGGTGGGGGGAGAGTCGATCCCAAACTTGTTGTGGTAAGTTTTAGCTGCAGTTTACATCCACTTGATAAAGTGCTGCTTAATTATCCCCGGCTCGTGTCAGCCTGGTTCGGTTGGTCACCTCTGAATCAGAATTGAGATTGTAGTTTCAAGCCTCATGTCAGAGCTTTGAACTAACTCACAGTCTGGGTTGCCACTCCAATACACCGCGCTGTATTGTTGGTGGACCCATCCTTTGGATGAAACATTAAAACAAAGACCCATCTGCCTGTTCAGGTGAATGTTAAAGATCCTATGGCAGAAAGAGAAAGGAGTTAAAGATCCATATTTTAAATAGAGAGGAGTTTCTCCTGGTGTTCTGGTAGTCAGTTTCCCAAATAATAAATAATCATAGCTGTTTTGGGGGACACTGATATGTGCAAATTGCCTCCTGCTTTCACCCACAAAATATGCGGTAGGCAATTAAACTTCACAGTAAATTCAATGAGCACTTTGAGACATCAACAAGGCATGAAATGCGCTGTATCAAATGCAAGGATTATGATTATTATTATGATAGAAATGCAATATATTTTTCTATTCTATGAATACCATAATTTTTTCCCTGGTTTTCTTTAGGTATCAGTTTGACTTAGTTTATAGCCCTCTCTGGGTCAAAACGTTCAAGTCCTACATCAGGACTTAAGCTTATAATAAGCTAACAGTTTAGTACAGTACTGGAGGGATGCACTGTTGGAGGTTCTATTTTTCAGATAAGACGTTAAACTGAATTCATGACTGTCTGTTCAGTTGGACATAAAAAGATTCCATAATATCAGTCAAGAAAAGCAGATAGATTTTCTCGGTGTCCTGGCCAACAATGCTTCAGATAAATTAATCATAGTTGTTTGTGGATGTTGGTAATGCAAATAGTTGCTGTGTTCGCTTGCAAAACACAATCACTTACAATTGACAGTAATTATGGAGCACTTTCATGTGATTTTTTTTCTTTAAAAGCTAAATCTTGTTTTGCAGCAGCTTGGCAGAAGATGGCAGAATTGCATTTGAGGAGATTATGATTGTGCATTAAAACCTTGGCCAAAAAATGGATTCTTTCATAACCAAGAGAGACATCTGGTGGCTGTTTAAATAAGGACTGTAGCAACAAACCTTGTTAAAAGCGAAGACTTATTGAACACGTATTCTGAGTACTGAACTGTGGATTGTAATTGAGAGAAAAATGAACCGATACACAACCCTTAAACAGCTTGGCGATGGCACTTATGGCAGTGTTCTTATGGGAAAGAGCAATGAATCTGGGGAACTGGTGGCAATCAAGAGGTATGTGAGTCGTTGCTCAGAATTTGCTTTAAATTCATGGACTTCATTCTTTTCATGTTTCTGTATAATAATGACCCTGTAATGTATACACTTACCCAATATTAAACACGACTGAAATTTACAATACAAAAGATTAAAACATTAGTTTTCATCATCCACCATTGATTTAGGAAGGAATACTCAAGATAAAGCGACAAATAAAAATATAGATTAGAATGGGGATCATCTTTAATTATCTTTATTTGTCCCTATCACCATGGTAAACCATGACAATTTCTGTAGTTTTTTTAAAAATGGTGTGATTATTTTTAACATTTCCCAAAGTGCACAAAACATTTTTGTGGTTCATTTTTGCCTATTTACCCTTTCACTTAAGAATCTCCTGCAACTCTTCAGGATTATTTGCTTTTTGGGTTAGAATGAGATTTTCCCATGATAATCCTAGATAATCCATGTTTGTATATTTGCCAACCAGCATAGAATCGTTATCATACATGTCAAGTTTAAAAATAAATTGGTTAATTTAATTTTGCCTTTTATTTAAAAGAAATACTATGTTTGACAAACAGTGTTTTTGGTTCAGCCCAAACCTTTAAAACTACAGCAACAACTTGCATTTATATAGCGCCCTTCATTCAGGCAGCGTCTTGGAGTTCTTAATACAGTCAAACTACTGTATTAACTTTGTGGCTTCACTGTCAAGCAGAAGGTTGAATGTCTTCCTGCCTTATCAAAGGGATCACAAAAGTAGCCCCGTGGGACAGTTACACTCATATTCCAACGCTGTCTTCAGCGAGTTTGAAAGTCAGAAGGCAATTGAATACTTGTTCCTGCATTACTTACCATTGTAAACCCCAACCTCCTAAATGTCTATGGTCAGTACGGGAACATGCCTTTCATGACATGCTCTAGAATTGAATCATCAGTGATCAACTATACAGTATAGTAAAAGAAGCAATGCAAGTCTGGACTAAGAATTCTCGTGGAACTACTTTAGATTTTGTTAGTTTTAACACTTTATGCTTCATTTAAAATAACTTATTTAATTTTGTGTGTTTCATTTTGCAGGATGAAGAGGAAATTCTACTCCTGGGAAGAATGCATGAATTTGAGGGAAGTTAAGGTACTACATTATGCCTAGTTACTCCAGGTGGAGTCCTATAGTGGTTAGAGCACTCGCCTCATAAGCGAAAAGACCTGAGTTTGATTCCCGGGCAGGGCAAAATGTTGGGCAAGTTTCCTTACTCCACACGCGTCTGTTTACCTAGCAGTAAGTAGGAACGCAGTCGTCAGTGGATTAGAGGATCGTTTTTCCAGGGGTAATTATCCCTTCAAAAAATAATAATAATTTGGTCAATCAATCCACGACTGTTTGTGGGACATTACTATGCACAATTGGCTACCACGTTTCACCCACAAAATATACATTCAATTCACTTTATAGTATATTCTGTGAAGCACTTTGAGATGTCTCGAAGATATGATAAGGGTTATTCTTATTCAATGCCTTTTTACAATAATTATAATAAGACTTATGTAGGGCCATAAAAATAAGTTTATCTTTATAAAGCAACAAAGGCCTCAAAGACAATTGCTACAATGAAATCTGCAAAGAGTTAAAAGTGGGAGGAGAAAAGTTTGACCTTTAAGAGCACAAAATTATATTTTCGAAGTCTCACAGTACATGGCTGTATTTTTTATGTGTGATTGGAAATGGCACAACCCTTTCTATGGTGCTGAGGTCCAAAAGAAGTAATCTTGCGCTTTGCATAGTTAGCTAACATTGTTATTACCATTGGGAATGGTATACCTACTTAATAATAATAATAATAATCCTTTAACTTGATATAGCGCTTATCACGACTTCAAGACTTCTCAAAGCGCTTCACAAAATACACTGTGAAGTGTTAGTGACTGTATTTTGTTGGCGAAAAAAATCTTCTTGAATAACATTTTGGAATTATTGATTTGATGCAAATATTCAATATAAAGTCTATTTCATCTTTGCGTTGAAAACTTCTTATTCATGCTCTTTAATGAGCATGGATAAAATGTCTGAAATGATGTGGAGTACTGTAGCTCAGTGGTTCGAGCACTCACCTCACTAAGCGAGAGACCTGGGTTCGATTCCCGGCAGGGCAAAATGTTGGGCAAGTTTCCTTACTCCACATGCCTCTGTTTACCTAGCAGTAAGTAGGAACCCAGTTGTTAGTTGATTGAATTGCTTTTCCGGGGATAATAATTCCTTCAAAAAAAAATTCCTTCCCTCCCCCAAAAAAGTCAATTCAATCCACGATTGTCTGTGGGACACTGCTGTGCGCAATTGGCTGCCGCATTTCGCCTACAAAATATACAATCAATTCACTATACAGTATATTCTGTGAAGCGCTTTGAGGGGTCTAGAAGATGCGATAAGGCGCTATATCAAATGCAAGATTATTATTATTTTATTTATAAAGCTGCTATGCTTGTCTCTAAATTAAATTTATGGAGAGTCAAATAAGGCTAAGATTGCTGTAACGTAATCTGTTGCTGTGTCCATGGTCTTGCCCCACCCAACCTTCTTAAACCTTACCAACCCTACCAAGGATATACTTACTAAAACACTCGATGGGACAAGAGTGAAAGTATTGTAGTTCTATTGTGTATTGTGGCACTGAAATCATTTGAGTTTTTTCCAGAAAAATTCTCAGCTCTGGTATTCAAAACTGTCTGGACAATTTTAAACCTCTGGGTGGCACTGCAATTATTTGATTTTTTTGCAATTATTCTCAACCTTTGTATATAAAACTATGAAACTACTTGTTTGAAGTAGCCAGGACATAAGAGCATAAAAATGTTTAGCAAAGAAAAAGATTATGAGGCTGGATCAATGGAATAATTGAAAAGGAAACGGGGTAAATTTATGCGCAATAAAAAAATATTAGGGGAAATGGGAAAACAGTGGAAAATGTGATTAATAAAAATGGTTTATTTAGCACTGCAGCTAGCTTCTGTGCAGAAAATGTCTGTTTCTACATTTTTAAATCAATTTTTTTGACATTTTATAACCATTTTAAAATGTCAATGTATCACCCAGTCCGTTCTCTTTCCAGAAACACATTAAATTACCTATTAAACTCATTGCGTTGCTTCCAAGAACTTCCAGGTTGAAATATTCTACAGTGTTTAAGTAAAGTTTCACCAGATTTCCACCAGATTTGAACAGTTTGCCCAGAATAACCTTGTCAAAACTCATACCTTTTGGTTATCTTATTTTTTCGTATTATAACACCTAACAATCTCCTGTTTTCCAAAGAGAATAAGTCCAACTTTCTCAAGTAAAACCAGAAATGTTTCACAGCAGATCAGTCACCATTTGAAGAGAATAATAGAATGAGTACAATGGATTGAATTTTAATTAATAGAATTTTTTTAAATGAGGATTTGCTTAATGTCATTAACTTAATTAACTGTTATGAAAGGTTATGTTTTAGAAAGATAGTTACAAAGAGGATTTGGTATGGTGACATAGTTCACTTTGGATTAGCCACAATTGAAGAGCTAATCTGTTAATCTCTAATCCATTTATTTTTAGTAAATTCTACATTAAGTAGAAAATCTAGTGCAGGAATTAAAGGGAGTGTTTTAATAAACTTTGAAGCCACAATTATCAAGTGTGCAAAGTGAGGTGTTCAATGTGCAAATTCCATTGCTCAGTTTGGGAATTTTAAAATGTGAATATTTGTTATTAATTTTGTAGTCTACATTTTCATTTTACTATCTTTAGTTTTTTTTGGCATTATCTGAATGAAATCGAGGGAGCAGCATTTTATAAAGTGTTTTACCAGCATCCTAGAAACAATGTCATATTTTAGGGGTGAAGGAACCCAAATTAGGTTGAAATTAATAATAATTGTTGAGATTACTTAATTAATTTTAGATCATTCTATATCTCCATTATATAATTAAATACAAATCAACTTTAGTCTCAATACAGTTGTTCAAATTTGTTACTTGAAGTCAAAATACAAAACTTAGTACATAATGAGTTATTCTGCAAAGTACAGCAGTTAATACATTTTAATCAGATTTCTGTTTTTATTCAAATGAAGTACAGTATTAGGATAATATGCTTACATCAAGGAGACATAATTGTCTTCAATTATTTCTTGCTTTTTTTAGTTACATTATAAGTTAAAGAAAAAAATAGCTACAGTACTGACTGAAATCTTTTATATATACAGGCAGATGATGTCAAATCTTGTTGTTGATGTTCCTTGTGTTTTACAGTCATTGAAGAAGCTAAACCACGCAAATGTTATCAAGTTGAAAGAAGTTATAAGGGAAAATGACCATCTTTACTTTGTTTTTGAATACATGAAAGAAAACCTGTATCAGCTAATGAAAGACAGGTACATTTTACTGTATTTTGCTTTTAGAAGTGCCAAATTTTAAACTCTGTTTGATGTTATTTTTAACATAGATATAAGTTAATTACGTAACTGCCTCTGCTGTTGCAGCTAGATTTATTTTATCAGGTACGGTATTTATATTTGTTAAACAGCTGAAGATTCTAACAATGTGACATTGGGTGAGGCCTTACCTTTGAAGCTAATAATTAAACAGTACTCTTGAGATAATGGTCTGCAATGGTCTTGTTATCAATCAATGTAAAAGGTTCTCATATTAATTTAAATAAATCTAGGTTAAATATAAATACAGTGCCCTCTTGTGGTTTCATGTTTTCTGAGATTAGGTCCTAAAAAGTGATTTGATGATGAGATTAAAACACATCGAAGACTGAAATGAGATTTAGGCTAATAGCCGATGTGTTAACCATTTTGAACACATAAAGGTGCTGTTAGTTATGTAATTACCACCTATGAAAAGGATTATAAGTGATTTAGGCACTCTGTGATGCTGCTGTGTGTGAAGGGCAGTATATACAGTAAATGTCTGATAACTCAAACCTCTCTTAACTTGTCACTACTACTTGTTGCAAATATCCCGGCCGCATTTATCTATGTATTTATACATATGCCTAACTTGCCACTGCGGATAACTCGCACTGAGCCCTTTTCCCTTGAAAGTGATGAGGTATCAGGAGTTTACTGTGAATGCAAGTTGTTGTTGTTGATTCTGGAATCCTTTTCATTGGTCATTTAAAACAACTATCTAAAATTCAAATTAAATTATCATTTGACATTATTGGCAAGTGTGGAATGAGATTCTGCCATTGATTTCCTAACAGAACTAATTTCTGATGAGAATCCAGTCAGGAGAAAGAGAAAAACATAAAACTATTTGCGACAGTTATTTGGGTCAATGAATCCTGTGAAGTTTCCCAAAACATACTGTCATTTTTCCCCATATCTGTAAAGAGAATGTTTGCATAGAACATAGTTTGGGGAATTTGGGCCAATTTTGCAACATTATACAGTGAACTCCTGATAAGACCCAGGTGTATATCATCACATTGCTCATAACATCATGCTGTCAATATCCCAACTGCTTCCCATGCAAAATGTGAATAAAAGACCCCCTTTTTTATATGATCACTCGTTTATAATGTATAAAGTCGCATTGTATACATCGCAGTAAGTAAAATATCAGATATATCATCAGCTAGAACTTACCTGAACTGCACAGCCAACGTGCCAGGCCTGCTCAGCAAACTCCCACGATGAGCAGCCTGGTAACTATGGGATAGGGTTGCTCTCGCCCTCAGGCAGTTGCATGGGAGCTCTTTTGACTCTTGGGCAAGACTTGTGTGATTATAGAAATTTTACAGATTGCCTTCTGTGAGATTCTTCCTGATTGCTGTGTATAGCCATAATCCGTATGGCTATACATAAACGTATACAGTACTTAAATGAGTTTTAACAAATAAACTGACATTCGTGGTGGCCAGGGCCACTCTGTCACACTGACAGCTACTGGTTCTGCGCAGGTGTAATGTGTATTGATGTAGGTCCTCCCAGCTATAGCGCCTCCTAGTGGTCCTGGAGGACTCATGCTGACATAGTCATCCTGAATATAGAGTCACTGAGCTCTTTTCCCTTGGAGTGACGATATATCAGGAGTTTACTGTATGTGATAACTAACCATTTTAAGATACAGTTTCATACAATGTTGAGACATTTCACTTATATCATATTGTACAGGACCTAGGTTCAAGGCACCATGTTACAGTATATGTAATGTGGAGGTCATAGTTTTAAATCAAATTTGTTTACATTTGTTTCAGAATATTTATTATTCTATTGAACTGTCTATGTTAACAAATTTGGAAAAATGTATCCTCATCTAAGACAGTGCCAACTTTCTATGCCAAAGTTTGGCTAACTAATGGTGATTCTTCCTTTCTCACTGAGGCTGTCCTGTTTAGGGTATACATTCCACCACAATCCTCCACTCCCCAAATTTTGATGGCATGGCTCATCTACAAATCTCTTTTTAACCTATCTCCTTACTCTTCAGACTCCTCCTTTGAACACCTCACTCTCTACCTTCTCTCTTTTAACATTTTAACAATCTCTCTTTCCCCATGGCGCTGATCAACCCCACTCCCTCTCTCCCCATAGCCCTGATCAACCTCTCTCCCCCATAGCCCTGATTAACCCCACTCTCTGTCCATAGCCCTGTGGAGTCCCGTAGCTCAGTGGTTAAAGCACTCAACTTGCAAGGGAGACACCTGGGTTCAGTTCCAGGCAGGGCGAAATCTTAGGCAAGTTTCCTTACTCCACACGCCTAATAATAATCCCTCCAAAAAAACAAAACAACAATAAACTGGTCATTTTCAATCCCCGAATGTTTGTGGGACACTGATGTGTTCAATTGGCTGCCACGTTTCGCCCACAAATATATGGTCAATTCACTTTACAGTCTATTCTATGAAGCGCATTGAGACGTCGAGAAGGTGTGAAAGGCGCTATATGAAATGCAAGAATTATATTATTATATTGTGTCATCTGTTGCCCTCCAAAGCCTGGAGGGCTTTTTGAAATGTTTTCTTTTTCAATTCACTCAGCTTGAACTCGTAATGCACATGTTCATTTGTCTCCTTCCACTGTCTTGCTATCATTGAAAGGTCTCAGTATTTCCAAAATCTCTCTCCACTTCTCCATTTCACTTGCTTAATTTTTCTCTTCTACCCCTTCCTCCACACTTGTCGCTCATCCTTGTACTTTCATCTGGCCCTTGGAGAAAATGAAATATCTTCTTGTCCTCCAAACGTCTCTCCCATAGCCACAGATCTTGAATTCATGATTCTATTTAACTTCTAAATACTGTAGCTTCTGTCTCGACCCACAAAATTCAACTTCATCCCTTCCCACCTCAGTTATTCACAATGTCTTTGTAAAGCACTTTAAGCCATTTTCCTATGTCAATATGCTATAAAAAGTGCTATTGTAATAGAAATAACTTTCACTTTGAATGTAATATTGCAACTATTTTTGTTTTGCTTTTCTTATTGTATGATTTGTTTGTTCACAGAAACAAGTTGTTTCCCGAATCAATCATTAGGAACATAATGTATCAAATAATACAAGGGCTAGCTTTTATCCATAAGCACGGTAGGTTCCTTAAGGGGCCAACATAGTCAATCTTTTTCGAGCCAAGAACTGGTAAATCATTATAAATGAGTTGGGATGCATACCCATTTTTTTCAATACATTACCCATTTTAATTTAATTTTCTGTTACCATAAATTGCATGCAGACAATTCTAATTTTGGAAAAGTAACAAATGTTATTTTTTTATTCAGATGGTACACCAATAAATGCTCAAAATTTTCAGACTTGCATTGGACAGAACAGACAAGTATACTAAAAACTACAGGACTATTCTGTCCTTCAGTTGTAGTTTTAATAGCAAATTGTTTTTGCTTTTTAAATCTACTGAGTATTCTGAGCTTTTCCATTTGAAGATGATGATTTTTTTTTGTTCAGATAGACTTCTATACATTCCAGGACTGCCATTGTCACCTGCTGTACATTTTCTGACTACCTGTTCAAGGGGTAAATGTCATGTTAAAACTTTAAGAAAAACTCACGCATTTTCTGTTTTTTCTTTTCTTTTTTTCCTCTACCTGTCTCTCTCTGTGCTGCCACATATTTATTCTCAATGACAGAGAAACTAAGCTATTCACTGAGAATGAAATAAGGAACATTCTGTTCCAGGTGCTAACTGGCTTAGTTTTTGTGCACAAGCATGGTAAGAGTCATTCTGAAATCAATTTTCTTTTGTTCTAAATTTCATTTAAATCATATCATTAGTTAGTACAAACTTAGTTTATTTTGTATAATGTATTTCTTTAGATTATAATTTTATTTTCTTGGTTCTTAACTTAGAATGTTAAATATTGATTTCAGTTATTTATGAAATATTCTGGATTTTTTTTTAGGATTTTTTCATCGTGATATGAAGCCTGAAAACTTGCTCTGCATGGGTCCTGAACTTGTTAAAATAGCAGATTTTGGCTTAGCCAGAGAGATTAGATCACGACCACCTTATACGGACTATGTATCAACACGTTGGTAAATGCTGCTTCTTCAGATATGTAGTTTGATGAGAAACTGATATATCATTCAACCAAAATGCTGAATCTTTGAATTGTTGAAAATATATTGTACATCTTAAAATCATTTTGTTTACTGTAATCACTGTTAAATTCAGGAGAGGGAAAAGATTGAAGTATATGTTGACAAGATGTTTAGGAGAGATTGAGAATAAATGGACAGACTTGTTGGCTGAATAATGATCATTTTCCAAAAAATCGTTTGCTCAGAATTGTTGAAAGAAACCATTTTCCCTGTGAAAATGGAAAACATGTTGATATATCGTATCCCATGTTCTCTCAGGTATCGTGCTCCTGAAGTGCTATTGCGGTCGTCCATCTATAGTTCTCCAATTGATATATGGGCAGTGGGTTGTATAATGGCTGAGCTGTACACACTGAGACCACTTTTTCCAGGAACAAGTGAAGTGGATGAAATCTTCAAGATTTGCCAAGTGCTGGGCACACCAAAGAAGGTGAGTAACAACTGAATCTTTAAATATTGAAACAGTACTTTGAGGTAAAAGGAACACTGCAATGTAAAAATATGGAAGAGACCATTACTATTTGTATGCTCGTCCCATTTTCTAAAATACTGCTGCTTACTGAAGGAGAGCCCTTTTGTAATGTCGTTGTTGGGATCCATAAAATCCCAACCAGTGCTTTAACAGGGCGCGATCTCTAGTCATCACTTCTGCATTCACTATCCACCCACTCAGAAAGATGCCCGGCAACAGCAATACTTCAAAACATCGGCTATCAAGGGAAAACAAAATGGATGACTTCTGGGTCATCAGGTCACTGTCACATCACTTGTTGCATGGAAGTCAGTCACTTGTTTCCAGCACACCTGGAAGTCAGTCACTTGTTTCCAGCACACACTGGCCTGTGTTTTGAAGTGCAAATGGAGCTGGGGCAGGCATTTTGGGGTAAGTAACTGTTGGGCGTCAACATTCCGTCATGCTACAAGTGAAGTCTCATTGTAACGAGGCGTATTATAATGGGACTCTCCTGTATCTAATGTATCTCAAGACCCGCCCATTGCCACCACACTCCTATCAAATGCATTCTTGGAATTATTGAAACTAATCACTTTTAGTACCTTCCTTAGCAATGTATTCACCAGGTATTCACCAACATCTGCATAAAATAATTGAATCTAAACTGTTTTCACCTTCCTCTTTTTGAGCCTTCTGAGCCAACAACAACTACTTCATGCAGGATGATGTCTCAGAGCGCTTCACAAGGACTGTGAGGAAGAGGAGGGAGGAAGGGGCAATAAGGGAGGTGACCGTAAACTCTGTTGAAGAGATGGGTAGGATTTAAAAAACGAAAGAGGAGTGAGATGGAAGGGTAGAAGGAGCGAGATACAGAGGTTAGGGGCTTAGTACCTGAAGGCTCTGACACCAATGTTGGTGCAGAAATTAGAAGAAAGTCATAGAGAAAGGGAGATGCTAGGGCATGAATTTATGTAGGTCAGGATCTTGAATTCAATCCGTTCGGATGACATGACCTGATTTTTGCAACCCTGCAAAACTTTGTCAAGGCTTAAAGTTATCAAATATAATCTTGATATTTTGTTGCATAATTTCTACTGCTGATATCATTGATATAATAACCTTGTATGTAGCGCAGCAAGAATAATACACAAAAAAACAATAAAATCACTTAAAAAAAACAAAAATGCAAACTAGAGAGAGTTTCAGATCTCGGTGAATAAATAAGGTGGTAATTCCATTCAAATTTTAAATAAATGGTAGACAAAGACTTACCTTGGCACATTCATGCACTTTAATTGTGTGTGCAATACAAGAATGTGTGCGTTTGTGATGTATACACACGTGTCTAACATACACATTTTATACCTGGAAACAATCAATAATAACAATAATAATAAACATCAATAATGCTTAAAATACAATAAATACAACAACTAATAAAGTTAACTTTCTGTCATTGGAATCTATGAATCAATATTGTGAGCAAAACATTTATATATAAATTCTCTCACATTCAAAATTAAAACCCTTTCAATCAATAGGGAGTTTTGTTTTTCTTTTTTAAAAAAACCATCAAAGCACTATACACCCCAGCGATCTCTCAGCAAGTTACTCAGAAAATAGCTTTTACAGCCCTACAAAACTTGGTCAAGGCCCAAAAATATCTTGTTATCAAACTTAATCTTGATATTTTATTACAAAACCTCCTTTACATAGTCTTCATTCACATATATAGATGAGATCACGTTGTTTGTAGCATAGTGAATAGAACACAAAAGACCTTTAAAATTCATTTAAAAGGAAAGTGTCCCAGACTTCAGTCATTAAACAAGGTGGGCACTCCTTGAAAGTTTTGATTTTTAACTACTAATAAAATATAGGTAGAGACTACCTTGGTCTAGGTATGTGTGTCATGAACATACGTAGATAATGTAAGATTACATAATCAATCACTGACTCTGATGAATCTTCAGCCCTGAGTCTCTCGTTTTGATAATGTTGGCCAAACAAATACTATATATTTGTTTTATAGTAATTAGTAATGCGATTTGAAGAATATTGACATTAGAGGTGTTATGTCAAATGCATGAATTATTATTGACATTTACACAAAAAATGTTTCAAAACATGAGCCGTTTCAATCTATAGAAAGATTTCAGTTTTTAATTGTCCGGATTGTTTTTTTTTAAAAACTAACATTTTTACCTGCTCCACTGGTAATTCATTGAGTATATTCAAAATTTTGCGGAGCCTTGCAGACCAGAAAGGTCCCGGTTTGAAATCTGGCTTGTGCTGAATTAGCTTATGTCAGTCAGGGCTCAGTGGGGTGCAACAGTTGATAACCAGCCTCGGTTAGTGAATAGAAACTTATTCAGGGTTCTTGTTCTGAATGTCTGTTCAGCAACCTTTCCTGAGTCTGTGAGTGAACAGATACTGGGTGAGGAATGTTAATATCCCCTCCAATCAAACATTTGGCTGATACTTGTATCAAAATTCACATGTGAATAATGGCTTCTTTGGGGGTTATGGGGTATGAATGACGTCCATGAAACTATCATAAAAAAAATCTTCAGCAGAGGAGAAAATTGGTGAGAAAAAAACTGCTAATGTCTCCCCACAGATCGATTGGACAGAGGGTTACCAGCTGGCAGGTGCAATGAACTTCCGCTTCCCCCAGTGTGTACCCACTAATCTGAAGACATTAATTCCTAATGCCAGTAATGAAGCAACACAGGTAATGAAAGACATGCTTCAATGGGATCCCAAGAAAAGGCCAACTGCCACTCAGGTAGGTTACAGATTTCTAGATTTTTGCCCAAACGGTGTCAATTGATGAAATATCATTACAAATGTTTATGCTTATTTTTCCTTCATCCCCATATCTTGGTATTGAGTATAGCAAGTTCTTCTATGAACTGTTTGTTTGCATGATATCTGATATCTTCAGAAATAACCATTGACAAGCATTTGTGATATTACATTTCTCAGATGATTAGAAACTGCTTTAGGTAGAGCTGTGTATTTAAGAAAAATATAAATGCAGGTCCATAAGTATGATATAGTGATGTTACAGTGGTAATACTGGATGGAGCAGATTAAATTGAAAACGGCTCATGTTCTTTGAGTTGACTGAGAATGTATTTATCTGTAGGTTCCTTTCATACGCCTATCTTATTAAAGTCATTGCAGTTGCACTTTTCCAACAATATTTAGCTGAATTTAAACTTCGGTTCAGTTCCATTTGAGTCCACAAAACGAGGGCATTTACTGGGTCAGGCCTCAATGGAAAGTCATATTGATTGTGGACCTCATTCACTGTGTGAAGCTAGCCATCTCATTTTTGCTTGTGTGAACCTGACCCATAACATAAATGACCAATTTCAGGGTCATTAGGTTGCTGGCAATCTTACTTCCTGTACACTGCACATTTTCAACACACCGGAAGTGATGTCCGTTACAATTTCATTGCCGAAGTTGGCCAATTTTTAGTGCCTGGTTGCCACTAGCTATGGGAAGTGAGCAAGCTGGATGTTTACATACACAATGAAACTGGCTATTGCATTCCCAATGTAACACTTTTTATATTCTTTTTTGGACATCCAACCACCATAATATAACAAGTTTCCTATATGTTCTTTTTGTAGTCACTGTCAGATAAAGCACATGGAGGTGATCTACCAATAAGTACTATAAACTGTTAATAATGCTTTATTATAAAGTTACCATTTGGCAAATAACAAAGTTCAATTCCTCAGATGACTAAAAACTCAAAAGCAAATTTATTCAATTCAGGGTTCACATTTTTTTTAATCCCTTAATTCAGGCACTTCGATATTCTTACTTTCAAGTGGGCCAAGCTTTAGGCCCTCCAACACAGTGTTTACAGCAGCAGCCATTACAGAATAAACCAGTTCAGCGGGTGGAGCCCAAGGAAGTAACTTTACCCAAGTCTGAGCTTCAGGCTCAGCCTCAGTCTGCACCTCAATCTCCACTTCAAACTCAGTCTCTGCCTCCACCGTCATCTCAACCTCTGTCAAAAGGTATCCATCAGCCACTTCAACAGATTCAACTGCCGCAGCAGAATTCCACCCTCCAAGTCCCCCTGAAAGAGACTCAGAAATTACAACAGGCCATCCTTCCCTCCATCAATAACAATGCTCTTGTGGTAAGTTAAGAACTCATCAGAGTATATGTGGGCATATTTTTTAAAATTTAGAGACATTTACAGCTCTCTTGAAGGCTGGATTATTAGCTTCATGACCAGTGCCCTAACGTGCCAAGCAGACTTGTGGTTTCAATCTCTAGTTCTTTGGTAATTTAGCTGATCTTAGACCACATGATTAGTGTAATAATTTAGGAAGTAGAGATTTTGTGGTAATTGGAATAGATCAAACAATACACTGTATCATACATCATGTTTGTGTGTCAGCCTAATCAGTTGGTGGCACACTGAGTCACAAGGTTGTGTGACTATATCAAGTCATTGAACTCACGGACAAGGGTGACACTCCAGCGCAGTGCTGGGAAAGCACTGCATTGTAGGAAGTACCTCACTTTACAGGTGAGACATTAAACCAAGGCCCCATCTACCTGTTCAGGTCGACATTAAAAAGGGACGCAAATTTTTCCCAATGTCCTGGCCAACAATTCCCCAGATTAAAAAATAGTAATTCACTTCATGGCTGTTTGTGGGACATTGGGTGAGCAAATTGATTGCTGCTTTTTCAAACAAAAACCGTCTTCATAGCAAGATCCAGTGAAGCACTTTGAGACATCTCAACAGAGTTCTGTCAAGTGCAAGAATTATTAAATTATTATTTGAGCAAGAAAGGAACTTGAGAAAGTTTCAATAGTTTATTCACAAACTAAATCAATGTTTTTGGTCCAACAGATGGGGAAACCCATCACCATGCTTGAGTATCCAAAGCAGACTGAGCATTCCGTGCATCTCACCTACACACGGAAGTCTCACTCTCCCCGGAGGGACACACCCTGTTCGCCTAATTGCAGAGAGCATTAGGCACAGGTTGACAAGAGCCAAGGCTTGAGGAACCCAGAGTGTGTGTGGGGTACTGATGGAGTTTAATCAGCCAAAACCACATAGCTTGCCTTTGAAAGCATTAAATCTTCTGGGTGATGTTTTGATCAATAATAATGATAATAATAATCCTTGCATTTCATATAGTGCTTTATCAAGTCTTCTAGATGTCTCAAAAGTGCTTCACAGAATATATTATAAAGTGAATTGACCGTATATTTTGTGGGCAAAACACGGCAGCCAATTGCGCACAGCAGTGTCCCACAAACAGTCGTGGATGGATTGAAGTGACTTTTTTTTGGGGGGGAGGGAATTATTATGCCCGGAAAAATGATCCAATCGACTAACAACCGGGTTCCTACTTACTGCTAGGTAAACAGAGGCATGTGGAGTAAAGAAACTTGCCCAACATTTCGCCCTGCCAGGAATCGAACCCAGGTCTCTCACTTGTGAGGCGAGTGCTCTAATCACTGAGCTACAGTACTCCACTTCATTTAAGATGTTTTATCAATGCTTATTTAAGTGCATGAATAAAACGTGTTTAATGCAAAGATGAAATAGGCTTTATATTGAATATTTGTATCAAATCAATAATTCCAAAATGTCATTCAAGTAAGAAGTTTATTTTCACTCAATATAGTCACTAACGCTTCACAGTATATTTTATGAAGCGCTTTGAGACATTTTGAAGACGTGATAAAGCGCTATATCAAATGAAAGGGTTATTATTAAGTAGATATACTATTCTCAATGGCAATAACAATGTTAGCTAACTATGCAAAGCACAAGATTACTTCTTTTGGACCTCAACACCGTAGAAAGGGTTGTGCCATTTCCAATCATACATAAAAAATACAGCCATGTACTGTGAGACTTTGAAAAAATAATTTTGTTTTCCTAAAGATAAAACTTCTCCTCCCACTTTTAACTCCTTGCAGATTTCATTGTAGCAGTTGTCTTTGAGGCCTTTGTTGCTTTATAAAGATAAACTTATTTTTACGGCCCTATATCAGTCTTTCTATAAATTATTGTAAAAGGGCAATAAATAAGAATAACCCTTGCTTTTGATATAGCGCCTTATCACACCTTCGAGACATCTCGAAGTTTCACAGTTCTGTGTATTTCACAGAATATACTATAAAGTGAATTGACTGTTTTTTTTATAGGTGAAACGTGGCAGACAATTGAGCACAACAGTGGCCCACAAACAGTTGTGGATTCAGTGACCAAATTATTATTTTTTTTGAAGGGATAATAACCCCTGGAAATGCGATCCGCCAATCCACTGACAACTGGGTTCCTACTTACTGCTTGGTAAACAGAGGCATGTGGAGTAAGGAAACTTGCCCAACGTTTCACCCTGCCCAGGAATCAACTCGGTCCTTTCACTTGTGACGCGATTGCTCTAACAACTGAACTACAGGACTCCACCTGGAGTAACTAGGCATAATGTAGTACCTTAACTTCCCTCAAAGTTATGCATTCTTCCTAAGAGTAGAATTTCCTCTTCATCCTGCAAAATGAAACACAAAATTAAATAAGTCATTTTAAATGAAGCATAAAGTGTTAAAACTAACAAAATCTAAAGTAGTTCCACTAGAATTCTTAGTCCAGACTTGCATTGCTTCTTTTACTATACTGTACAGTTGATCACTGATGATTCAATTCTAGAGCATGTCATGAAAGGCATGTTCCCGTACTGATCATAGACATTTAACACTTCTTCTAAACGGCTCAAAGCGCTTCACTTCATGTAAAGTAAATTTACTGTATATTCTGTAGGCAAAACCCGGTGTACAACAGTGTCTCACAAACAGTCGAAGATTGAAATGACCAATTGATTTTTTTTGTGTATTCAACCACACAACTACAATGTATTGCTATAGTTAAAAGAAAGCCAGTCTGTGCATGTGCTCTTGTATTATGTAGTGGATACATTGATTCAAAAACTGAGCTAATCCCTAAAGAATAAGTAATTTTATTCCACTTTTCTCAATCTTACACCTGTGTATTGATGAGTAGCACTGTAGTCCCAGATAACATTCAATAAAAATAGCAACCTCACCATGGACACCAATTGGAAGCAAAGACTAACTGCTCAAATTAACTTTTCTTCTTCTTCTCACCCCCCGCCCACCCTGCCCATAATCAAAAAAATGAAAGCAGAAACTAGCAGAAGGGAATGAGAACAATATTACTGGTTTCAAAAGTGGCCGACGGCGCTGGGGTCAGACAGTACTGAAAACAGTGGACAGTTGGGATGATTTTGATGATTCGGACTTTGGCGCATCTTTCTCAAAAAAGCCCAGCATGACATCAGTGAAGGAAATAACCAATGAAGATCTGCTGAAGAGGTGTGTTAATACAGTGTGTGAATGCAGGTTTTCAGGGGATAGTCAAATATAGGATCATTGAAATTTTCTGCACCTTTTCCAACTCTACCCATATCCTTCAATGTTTTTACCACTCAGGTTCCTATCCAGTTCACTTTTGAATAATTCTTTTGACCACAAAGCCTCCAACAGGTGATGAAAAATTTGCTTTCTGGTATTTTAATTTTGATATGAGGAAAAGCAAGGATCCCTGGATAGATGCAAGTACTGGTTGGCCTTTTGAGTACTGCCAATTCAAAGTTGATCAGAATGGCTTTCATGATCATCCTTCGATCGAGTACTGCCTCATTTATAGTGTGGGTCCACTGTGGACTTGTGCTAACTAGAAGTGCAGTACACTTGGCTTCTGGCACTGACAGGCTAGCTTCCCATGCTAAAAAATATTGGGTGTGCGGGTAGTCAAGACTGCTGCTATTGTCGCTTCATGTACACTGCACAAGTGGCATCACCAATGTCACTTCCTCTGGGCTGTGCATGCTCACTATACACAAGAAGCATTGTTGACGTCACTTTGCAAAGAAAGTGACTTCAGCAACAAACATACACACAAGTGATCTCAGTGATGACCAAAAGATCAACAAGTCATCCATTTTTTCACGCCTTGTTAAGTGGTTAGTAAATTGAATATTGCTATTCTGTAATTGATGACTCTTAATCTGATCAAATTTAAAATCACATTTGACTGCAATATCAATTTATTTTTTACTGTTGCTCTTGTGTGAATGGATTTACAGTGTAGCATCGCAAAGATTGCAAAACCAGTATGGCAGAGGAAACAAAACTGTTCCAAACACCACTCTAACCCGATTGGATTCTGGATTATCTACATCTTCAGCAAGGCAACATTATTTGAGGCAGTCAAGGTACCTTCCTGGTAAGTCCAACTGCATGGATCACAGCACATTATCGAACAACAACAACTTGCACTTATACAGTGTTCTTCACCCAGGGTAGCATCTCAGAGCGCTTAACAGTGGCTGAACCTGACTCTGGGGGCGGGGGGGAGATGGCCATAAGCACAGTCGAAAAGGAAGGTTTTCAGGCAGAACTTGAAAAAGGGGAGAGAGGGGGCCAAGGTGGAGGGATTGAGGGAAAGTGTTCCAGTTTTGGGGCGTAGTAACTGAATGCGCAACCTCCAATGGTGTGGCAGAGGGTGTGAGGGACAAGCAGGAGGCTGATGCCCGGCGAGCCGAAGTCCCGGGTGGTGGATTGGGAAGTGAGGAGGTTGGAGAGGTAGGGAGGTGCCATGGAGTGAAGGGATTTGAACACGAGTGTGAGGATCTTGAAGTCAATCCATTTGGTGATCGGGAGGCAATGGAGCCTGGCCAGAACTGGTGAGATGGGAATACGGAGTTCGGTCCAGTCCCGTGTTGGAATCTAACTCTAGTCTCCAATACTCTAGTCTCTAAGAGGGGGCAACTGCCATTTCTACGTACCCCTCCTGCCTGACCTCGGGATTCATACATTGCTGTGGTTTTTTTGGAAAGGCAAACTGTGGTATCCTTGTGGTTTTTTTAAGAAGTTCCCTTTGTGCTCGATAACATTCTGGGTAAGAATGCGGGCAGCTGGATTCTTTGAATAGTCCAGCTGGGGAGACCGGCAAGGGTGCGTTTGAGTAACCCAGGCGGGAGGTGACAAACGAGCGCACAAGGATTTCGGCTGCATTTGGGATAAGGTTCAGTCGCAGGCGGGCAATGTGGTGGAGGTAGAAGAAAGCAGTCCTGGTCAGGGACCGGATGTGGGGGAGGAAGGACAGCTGGGGGTTGAACTAGATGCCGAGATTGTGCACTGGTTCGGTGAGTCTGAGGGAGAGCCCAGGGAGGTTGAGGAGTTTAGATCCTCAGGAGTGAACATGTTGATGGGAGTATGGCTTCCGTCTTGTCCGCATTCAGCTGCAGGAAGTTTGCACTCAACCAGGCCGTGATGCCTGTCAGACAAGCTGATAGAACATTGATGAACCTGGAGTCGATCCTGGAGGAGCCAAAGTAGATTTGTGTGTCATCCACATACATGTGGAAGTTTACCCCATCTCTGCAAATGACATCGCCCAGAGACAGGTCAATGTGGCATAGAACCATACAGTGCAATCCCTGGTATGTAGAGAGCCTGGTGACCCTATCTTGGGCACTGCAGTTGCGCTCAATGCCATGCCCAGTACCAGAAATCAAAATAAAATAACCCAAGTTATCTGCTTCATATTTTTGCATGATCTTAAACATTTTTATGTTTAATTTGTAGAGCATTTTACACAATTGTTAAACATCTTCAGCCTTTCTGCCTCCATCTCTGAAACTTCAGCCCAGAGTCCCTTTGCCGCCTACCCCCCTCACCTCTTGGAAGGCCCATCTAAAGACCTTCCTCTTTGACCATGCCTTCAATCATCCTCACACTTACCACCCTTGCCCTCCACCCCTCTTGATTCCAACCTCCAGCTGGGATGCAAACCATTGACTATCCAGCACCTTGGGATAGCCTCCCAATGTGAAAGGCACTATATAAATGCAATTTGTTGTTACTAACAAAAGAAAAATTACTGACAACTGAGTTGTTTTCAAGTGATTTGCTTATTTCTACAGCCATTGGGATTCGTTTGAAGATGTATCAGATATTTCATTATTTTCTTGTGTAGGACAATCCTTATGTATCTGGATAGAGGGTATTAGGATGGAAGGAGGCTCATGTGGGTTATAATTTATTATAAACACCAGCAACAACTAGTTGGGCCAAATGGTCTGATTCTGTGTTCTAACATTCTATGCATTACTGTCTCAAAAGTAAAACTTTAATAATAGAAATGTATCTGATACAGTTAATCAATGTACTTTTGCATTTTTTCTTTAGTATCTTGTGTTTTTTTCACACCCATCCATGTTTGCAGTCATAAGGTTATCAATCTGATCCTCATTAAAGTTTCTCTTTTTATTCTAAGGAGTAAATCCCAAGAATGTATCAGTTGGTGGAACAAATAAAGATACTTTACAGAACTTGGGTAATGCAACAGGTTACCTCAGCCGAGCCCTCGGGGATGTTTGTGGAGAGCCTCCTATTACCCAAGCTGAAGCAGGTAAATAAAGCATCGTTTTGTACACAACGGTGGTTGAATCCTTTTTGTCATTGTTCCCTTCTTAAATTGTCTCTTTCTCTTCAAACACAAGGTGCCTTTCTCTATTAATATAGTATTTCTGTCTTAAACCAATTCCATCCAGGTGAAGAAAAATCTGAAGTAAGCGAGAACATTGCAGAAAAATCACAGATGTCCAGTTTTACATCTCAAGCTAGTCAAGGTATTAGCATAGAGTAGAGTTTTCCAAACATTTACCATAGTATAGATTGACCCTTATTATTAAGCTCATCGCTAGAGCACGTGTTTGCTATTAATGCTGTTCTCGGAAATGTGAAAGCTTCCGACGTGGCCAGCTGATGTGCCATGCCACAAGTGGCTTCGTCGGGGACCTGATTACCAAGAAGTGGGTTCAGCTATATCTGTTTCACAGACCCATTATAACTGTGTCATTTTTTTTATCCACAGCTCTGCATTTATATCACGGTCACTCCGTAGCCCTCCCGACCCATTCACCAATATGTAGTTATACTTTATCCATAAACCTTATTTGCTAGTTGTACAAATGGCACACAATTGAAATTAGTATCAATACTATTACAGGGTTCTATTTTCTGAACAAAATAAATCAAATGATTGCATACAAACAGTATTCACTGTTTTAATGACTATGCCTCCTACATTTCTACATTTCTTTCAAATGTGGTACAAACATTCCCACAAAAAGTTCTTTTTATTTTCTGTTACATTCCCTTCATAAATTGTCCATCATTTTAGAAATTATAATTTGGAGCATAGGAAAACAGGATCAGGAGCAGCCATTCTACCAATCGAGCCAGTTCCATCAATTTATTAGATCTCGGCAGACTTATTTTTAAATGCCAATGACCTGTCATTTCTCCCTTCATATTTCTACTACTCAGATCTGTTGGTTTATCTTTTAAATATCCATACTAATTCTGCCTCTATAGCTTTCTGGTTTAGAGCATTCTACATCTTCACAACCCTCTGTGTGAAGAAAAAATTCCTGATGTCTGGCTGACCATCTTGCTCTGATTTAAGGCTATGTCAAATGCAAGGATTATTATTATTATTATTATTATTATTATTATTATTATTATTATTATGTCATTTGTAATGAGGGAACAGTTGTTCACTATTAATCTGGATACACACAAGGGCTGATAACTGGCAAATAATGTTTAATACAGATAAATGCAAGAAAATAGAAATCGGAAAGTACTCCATGGATGGGACAGAACCTGCCAAGGAGCAAGCTGAAAGAGCTCTAAGGGTGTTACCTGACTCATTGCTCACTATGTTGAAACTGTGAGACAGCAATAAATAAGGCAAACAGGATAGTAGGCTATATTGCTAAATCAGTTGAGTTTGGATCTCAGACAACCCTGGCTGCACAGTGCTCTGGTCAGACTCGACTTTGAATACTACATACAGTTCTGGTCGCTGTGACATAATGGAGCATAACCCAATTCCTAAAGAGAGTGCAAAGAAGAGCAGCGAGAATGATTCCCAGGAATGAGTATGAGCAATGATTAGATAAGCTCGGGCTTGTCAGTCTTGAGATGACTGAGAGGAGACCTCATGAAAGTGTATCAAATTTTAAATGGGATTGAAAAAACAAACAGACAGTACTTTAGGATGTACTAAGACACTAAGAGAACATAGGTTGAGTTGCAAAGGGCAATTTCATGATAGATACTCAGAAGCTTTTCTTTACCCAGAGGATAATTAACCACTGTAATACGTTGACAGGAAGGGCAGTTGAAGCCAGGATACTGGACTTGTTTAAAAAGCAGCTTGTTGCTTTGATGTGAGGCTGGTTCGGTGGGTATTCTGTAAGGAGGAAATCAGATGCGGTGACGGGCCTTCTTCATCCAAACTGATCTTGTGAACTTTTCATTCTTGGTTTCCTACTTAATTTCCGCTGTACCCTCTCCATGGTTGTGATGACTGTCTATAGGGAGGTGCCCAGGGTAGAGACACTCCTGTACTTTTAAGTGCTCCAAGACACTGCCTTGTGTAAAGAATGCTTATATAAATACAAGTGTAGTTGTATGTATGTATGTATGTCTTCTACATTCAGTATTTAACATTATTTGTTTGCTGCTGCTGGAAATCATCTCAGCACACCTCCAACGTTGTGACACAGTGACAATGCTTGCTTCCATATTATTACAAAGGATGTGTGCTGGAATGCTTTTTTAAAAAAATTCTGAACTCCTAAATTGCCCTCTCAGTTTCTGGTGCATCACTTCTGCTATTTCCTGCTCCTAATTAGAACAATGGCCTAAATACTGAAGAATAGCAAAGCTCAGAGATCTGGCTCGTTGTTCCAAGGTTCCCAACTTCAGGTTCTCTGAACTTGTGGGTATTTACTGCAATGATGGCAGGGGTTGAAGTGAGATACTCAGGCACAGTTCAATTCTGAGAGATTCTGGCCCTTTCTCTAACAAGGTGACATAAACTGGGGTAAGGAACATGCATTATACAGGAAGAGGAATATTTTTAATGGATTGGCTTTTAAACCAGTCAGATTATTTATTGAAGAGAAATGAAGGTTGGAGTTGAGAGTTTTGGTCATTGTTAAGAGGACATTAACGTTGCCATGAGTTAGCTGAATGAGACGATAGTTTCATGTGAAATGACAGCTGCCTAAGTTCTCTTTCAGAAGTTTGTTTGAATTATACAACACTAAATAGTTTGATTTTGTTACAGGAAAGATAGGAGGATTTAGTGGCTCAAATTATTACACGACTGGAGGGTATATTCCATCCTTTCTTAAGAAGGAAGTTGGCTCAGCAGGACAAAGAGTTCAGCTTGCACCTATTGGAGGGCCTACATCTAGTAAGTGAATCATTACTTTATTATGTACATACGCACAGTTCTGCACAGCACCAGGAATTAGACCAGAAATATGATGAGAAAGTGGTGTAGTACATTTAATACTATGTTAAGTTCTTAAAATTATAAGAATGTATTGTAGTTTAAAGCAACTGGAAACCTCTACTGTTCATTAATCTCAAAGTAACAAATGCATCTTTACAATAAAGTGAGTTTTCTTTAAATATTATGTGAAAATGGAAGATCAGAGGTGATTACGAATGCATTATACCCGAAACCTTTGCTTAGATATTTTTTGTTTTGATTGTGCAATAGTAAAACAGTAGTAGTTTTTAACATAATGACGTTTGATTGCAATATTATCCTAATTGGGAGTTTGACAGGATTTGAGTGGTGCTGCATTTTATTTCTCTTAGAATTTGTGTAAAATCTGTAAAATTCTATACAATTTTTCATAAACTGAACAAAGAAATTGAAATTGTGAAAAACGGATTAAGTAAAAATCTTTAAAAGAACTTACCATGAAATGGGTGTAGCTTCAATAGTATATTTGCTGTGGTTATGTGCAACAAATTGGAATAAGGTGGGTTCTATTACATTCTGGCTCACTTTAAAATGCTTTTTGTTAAGCCTTTCATGTTACATTTATTTATTGTTCATCTGTTAAGTTATTTCTTAGTGCTTTTCCTAACAATGTAATTTCCATTTAGCTGTTCAAAACTGTCAGACTTTTCTATCATTTTCGATGGTCACTTATTGAACTTTATCGTTTATCCTTACTATAACTTATTGCTTTCTATTTGTCTCTCTCCTCAAAGTCTTCTGTCATTCCATCTATTTCTGCTTCTCTTGTCTTCTTACATTGTTAGATTTGCTTCTCAGCAATGAGGTTAAAACTGACAAACTCAAATCAGCCAGGCTTAAAACAATAAGCCAAAAGTCAACAGCTGAAGTTAACTCAGGTAAATTGTTCCTAAGGATATCTCTCTCCTATTTAGATATTTTCCTATTGATTATGTTTCCCCTGGTGACATCATCTGCAGGCATGAGGTCAGTTTGGTGATGAAACCCAACTCTACCTCTTTTTCTATCCTTGATTTCAGCAACATTAATAGAGGACATTTATGTTCTGACACTTTCATTACAGCCAGATTTGACTACACTAACTACCTGCTTGGCAGATTTCCCAACTGTTCCCTCCACAAGCTGCAGATTATTCAGAACTCTGCAGTTCATGTCCTCTCCCACACTAAGATTTGTGGGCTGATCACCCTCATCCTTGCCCAGCTTCACTGACTCCCCATCCTTGTCTTCACCTTTAAAGTCCTCCACAATCTTGTTGCTCCCTACTTCTGCAACCCATTAAAACTTCACCAACCTGTCCACTCTTTCCGCTCTGCGGGCACTGACCGACTCCCCTATTGGCGATCAGGCCTTGAGCCTTTCTGCCCCCACCCTCTGGAACTTCATCCCGGAGCCTCTCCTCCTTGCCCCCTTCCTTGCCTCCTTCAAGGCCTGTCTCAAGACCTTCCTTTTCGACTGTGATCTCTTCCCTCCTCCATTCCCCTTGCCCTCACCCCCTCTGATCCCAACCCACAGCTCAGGTGCAAACCACTATTGCCCAGTGCCTTGAGACATACTCCCAATCTGAAAGACACAAAATAAATGCAATTTGTTGTTGTTGAATGATTGCCTGTCAGATACCAAGTCCTGATGAACCTTGACCCCCTTCAGCTAATCATCACAACTAAAGCTATTTTGTTCAGCTCTTGCCTGTGGTTCCATCAATCTCTCTGGCTACTCATCTGGCTATCCGAGTGGGTGGAGAACCTTGTTATTTTGTTTGACCCTTAGTTCTATTCCAAACCTCACCGGACCTTGACCAAGACTGCCTTCTTCCATCTCTCAATGATTGTCCACTTACATCCTCATCTAACCCCCAACACAATGAAACTCCCATCAATGCTTTTGTAATCTCCAGACTATCTCCTAATGCTGTCCAAATGGCTTTTCTAGTTTAATTTTCCAAAACAATCTCTTTGCCTTGTTCATACTCTTGCCTAACCCTGTTAAAATTCTCTTTGTGCTTGTGGTTAATATATTCAAACTTACCCTTGTTTCCTTTCTGCTACCAGCAGTGATCCCCGCTGTTATTGTAAAATACGTTTAGTTCTTGATTCTGCATGAAGGTGCTACATACTTGCTATAAGTTGTAATAGTCTTTGAGACTAAAGCAAAAACTGAAGAAAATTTCTAATTTGCAGTAATAGTGACATATGTACTTAAAACATAGAAGTAAAATCAAAGATCTAGATTCAGGAAGTAATCTACTTAATGAATTGTGTATATTAGTGTTGGTATCATGGAATTTTGTTCACAATGACTATTTGCTCACAGGTTTAGCGTACAGTAGATACAGCAAGCATCATAGTGAGCCCATGCCTTTAGTAAAAATTGAGTTCTTAAATGTCCAATGCCTTCAGGTTCATAAACGATGTACTGAAAGTCAAACATTTTGAATCGCAATTAACATCTACTTGGTATTTGAAACTTTTCATTTATCTTCAGGAAAAAATGGAACTAATCATTTATTGACTGTTGCATAGTTATTGCTTGCAATGAAGTACCATTGGCATTTATAGTATCATATTAGCATTGATTCTGTTCTAATCTCTTGTACGGCTTATCCCCAACCACTCCTCGTGTTTCACTCTGTCCCAATCTGGAACTCTCCACAAATTCCTCCAGCTCACCCATTCACTCGTAACTTTCAAAACACATCTAGAAATCCATCTCTGCCTACTTTTGTCCAACCCCTCCCAACTACCCCAGCTGTCTCACTCTGCTCAGTTTTTGGTGAATGTTTTGAGACATTTGCTCTAGGGGAAAAGTTATACCAGTACAATGACCGTGTGCCAGGCTAATATTCCAAGAATCTCACCACTGTCTAAAAGATAATTATTGGGATAACTTGAATGCTTTTACCAAGAAATAGTCTTGATTTCACAAATGTTTTGATACTGATATGTTTCAAAGTAGCTTCAATATTAGATTAGAAACTTTTTGTTTTTAATCATAGAAATACACATTTCCAGCCTAGCCTTTTTTATTTATCCCATGTTCCATCTCTTTCCCCATATTCCTTGTGTGTGTGTGTGTGGTGGGGGGTGAGGGATATTTATGAGGTATTTAATAAGGTCACTTTTGAATGATTCATGGAGCAAGGCCATGGAGGGCTTTGAAGATGAGGACCAGGATCTTGAACTGTATCCTCTGTGTGATGGGAAGCCAGTGGAGTTGTGCGAGGATGGGAGGTGATAGGGTCACGGAGCCTGGTGCAGAAGAGTACACGGGCTGCAGAGATCTGGATGATCTGCAGCCCGTTGAGGAGGCCGACAAGCGCGGAGTTTGCATAGTCAAATCTGGATGTTATAAATGCATGTATGAGAGCCTTAGCGGCCTGCGGTGTGAGACCCTGGCGGAGCTGGGCGATGTTGCGAAGGTGGGGAAAGCCAAAGCGGGTCATAATAATAATAATAATCCTTGCATTTGATATAGCGCTTTTCACGTCTTCTAGACGTCCCAAAGCGCTTCACAGAATATACTGTAAAGTGAATTGACTGCATATTTGTGGGCGAACGCGGCAGCCAATTGCGCACAGCAATGTCCCACAAACAGTCATAGATTGAAAATGACCAATTTATTATTGTTTTGGTTTTGGAGGGATTATTATTAGGCTCTGTGTGGAGTAAGGAAACTTGCCCAAGGTTTCGCCCTCTGCCTGGAATTGAACTCAGGTCTCTCACTTGCAAGGCATGGATCGGATGTGGGGTAGAAAGGATAGTTGAGGGTCAAACAAGATGCCAAGGTTCTGGACTGGCTTAGTAAGGTGGAGTGTGCATCCTTGGATGGTAATGCTGTCAGCGCCTGAGCTGTGGAGGTGCTGACAGGAGCCAATCAGGAGGGCGTCAGTCTTATTGATTTTCAACTGAAGAAAGTTAGCTCTCATCTGGAATGATGAATTCCACATGCTAACCCTGAGTGAAGAAACTCCTCTGACTATCTTCCTTAAATGATAATGGTTTGGTATAATAATGTATACAGATGTTCAAGGAAGATAAATTGCTTGGGTCATTATTTGAGTATAATTTAATCTCTAGATTGAAAGTTCTCTCTTATTGGTCATTTGGGCTGATGTACCCTGGACCTCATCATTTATCTATTTAAATTTGCTTCACTGTTTAACTCATCAGTTGTGTTCCCTTCTCTGGTCAAAACCTAGGGTATGATTCAGAGACCCTTTTTAATATTATGGAGTCCTGTAGCTTAGTGGTTAGAGCACTCGCCTTGCAAGCGAGAGGACCTGGGTTTGATTCCTGGGCCGGTTGAAACGTTGCGCAAGTTTCCTTACTCCACACGACACTGTTTACCGAGCAGTAAGTAGGAACCGCATTTACGGGGATAATACTCCCTTAAAAAGTTATAATTTGATCATTTAATCCACAACTGTTTGTGGGACACTGCTGTGAGCATTGGCTGCTGCATTTCGCCCACAAAATATACAGTCAATTTACTCTGTAAAATCTGTGAAGTGCTTTGAGGCGTCTAGAAGATGTGATAAGGCGCTATATCCAATACAAGGATTATTATTTTATTATAATATGATTGGGCTTTGGGAAGACGACTGGAAATGGCTTGTATTAGCTACTGAACTCTTTTCCCCAATGGAGTCTTCATCCACGTGGAGGCTGAACTACTACATTCAGAGAATTAAAACAATCACACATATGCTCAACTATTTGCAGTATTGAAGAGTGCAAATGACAGAAAAAAAAAAAAAAATTTGATTTATTAAAAATTCCTTTTCAATAATAGGACAAGAAAAATCTTTCAGGTTTGTGTCTATTCAGAAGAAACATATACTACCTAAAACTGAGTGCTAAAAGAAAGGATCATTGTGCTTGGTAAAATTCCCTGCCACACATCCCTTCATATTGATTTCCAAATGTTCCTGCTCAAGTGCACATAAATTCTAAAACAACATAGCACTATTATTGATTCTGCAGTATTGGACGTATAATATTGATTCTAATTCTATTGAATACATTTCTGAAAATGAATTGCATGATTTAGTAAATATAAATCAATAGTATGAAGTGATGGGGAGTCTGAATGTAAGGAAAATAGAGTATTTACTCTTAACTTTTCTTTTGTGTAGACTATGATGCTTGGAAAACCAAACCAACCCGATCCCAGTTACCAGGGCCCAGCTATAATCCAGCTACCAAAAATTCTGCTGGTCTCCTAGCTCGTCCACCACCCATTCAATCAGTGCATGGAAGGACTGATTGGGCAACTAAGTATGGTGGCCATAGATAGCTGCCACTCTGTCAACATCACGTGCCATCATACCTTACTGACTTCCTGTAAACCAGGAGCTGTTTTTCAGGTCTACAGTGTATCCTGTGCTGAATGGAATACTACTGGACAAACTTATCCCAAGTGGACACCTCCTATAATCTTCAATGAGCTTCATTTTACAATCAACTCTTTTTCAATGGCCTTATTTCTGTTAACTAATCACTAATAAGATTATTTTCCGTTTTAAGGTCAGCTTTACCTTTGATGAAACCAAGATGGTGTTGTCAAGGTTCAAGATAAAATGGAGCTTGATGTAATGGAGCTCATTTACATTTTTGTCATTTGTTTCTTCTTTTAGAATGACTGAAGATCTGTTTTTTTTCTATGCAATATTCCTATAGAATTTAAACTTTATAAATATTTAAATCACATTGTAATATAAATGTGGTATGCTTCCTCTATTTATTCATGTGTCCTGAATGTAATGTAAATAATTATATCATGACCCCCCCCACCTAAGTCAAATTATCTATTGAATAGAAAAATATTTTAGCGTACATTTTCCTGTTGGAATATATGGATATACCTTTGAACAGTATGTCTTGCCCAGCAAAGTGTAATTATGAGCAACAGTGCAAGAGTTACTGATTCACGATATCCAAATGTCTATCAAATATTCCCATTATTTAGAACTGTTTTAGAATTTAATTTTAATTTCAAGAGCTTCAAAAGCCAGGCATGCAAATAGTTTCAGAATTAGCTATTGGCAATGCTATTCTGCACTTACATTTTTTTTACTTGCACAACCAATCCTGTATTTGGTTGGTGGTCAGATAACGATCTAAGTTTGGAGTTCAGTTTCAGAAATGCAGTAATTGTAAGATTATATAAATTCTAGTATATTTTAGTACTGTATCCATTTTTGTGTCTTTTACAATTAATGCATTTGAGGAACTAGTAAAAGCTTAAACAAATGAACTTGTAAATGCAAAGCTCTTGTCTATGTATGCACCGTATTTTGGTATTTCAGCAGTCGTGTTGTACTATTTTTCCGAGGCTGGTGACCAGAATCGACGCTTACTATATAGTAGCAAATTTGGAATTATTTACTTCAGCAGTATGCATGTAACACTAATGTCGTATTGTTTTTTGGGGAAAAAAAAGTCCAAATTTGTTTAACTGTTGTACCTGCTTAATATGTGCATCAGGAAGAGGTAGTTGCCAACATTCTGCTGCTTTCAAACCATCATTTGACTTTGCTTCACCAATGTGTAATGTAAACCAAGTTGGTATTGCTTCATATTGTTTGTGGAAAATTCATGCCACTGTTCATTTTTTTTTTAAAAAAACTTGTAGCTGCACTGATTCATTACAATGTATTGTTTGCAATTTCTATTCTTAGAAATGATCTTGTGTGTTGTACATTCCAATGACAGATGTTTTCTGCAAACGTGAAATGCTTCCATTTATATGTAGCATCCATAGGCTATTAGTTGGCTTCAGTTTCAACATGTAAATAAACTAAAATGTTTTAAGTTTTTTTGAAGTCCTACAAATTTTTAAAATATTCATATTGCATTGCGGTTTTATATATTCAATTGACAGAACTAAATTCCTATCTCTAAAAATAAAACTTGGGAAACCAATGAGTATCTGGAAAAGAATATAATGTCACTATCGCTCAAAAATATCTAAAAGTGACAATGTCCTAGCTTTAGTTCTTTCCCGCTTTGGCAATATTTGCATTTGATATTGTGCCTTTATTGCACCAAAATCTTTGTGTTTCACACAATCTTAATTTGAAATGCAGTGATTGTTGTATCCCATAGACTGTGATTTACTTCAGGCACCATTAATATATTGCCTTTCAACTTGGATAAGGGAAAATATTGTTCAGAACACTCGTATTTTTGAAGAGTGTTATGGTTTCCACTTGAACCACAAAACGGATAGGACGTCTGTTTAATGTCTTCCACAATATTTTTTATCTATTAAGGAAGTAGAGATTCCTTACATTATAAATCCTGGTTGTGTGGCTCTCAAATCCACAATATTCTCACCCGCTCTCTGCAACTCTATCCCAAAAACCCTTTGACTCACTTCCTCACCTTGTTCAAAGTCCGTCTCAAGATTCTGTTTTCAGACATCTTTCCCCACCCCCAGAGCCCAACCATCATTGTCAAGTGCTTTATGACATCCTCTCAACGTGAAAAGCACTTTAGATGTAAAATTGTATTGAGGTGACAGTCCTGCCAAATGACATAATTTACTATTAGCGTTGAAAAAGCAATGGTTCACAAGAGGATTCACTGATAATTCAGTCCCTAAATTGAGATTGTGCTCAATAAGACAGTAAGTACATCATAGCCAACTCGCAGGAATCCCCAATCTAAATCAAGGACTTCAGTGCAGGGATCCTGTGACTGAGCTGCTGGTAGCGAATGCTGCTGCAAACATCCACTTTTTCTGTATGGAAATTTTACAAATGTTTAATGTAAATTACTGGTACTTTAGTTTTAATCAGCACCTGTATAAAAATGTCTAAGTGAATGTTCATTCAATCTCCACATACCAAGTTGTGATGGTCATGTTTCAGATGTTTATTATTATTATTTGACATTAGTATAAATGTATGTTCTTTGCCTGCTTCTCAATGCCTTGGGCTACCTCTTTTTCTCTGAGACAGCAGTTTATCCTATTATTTGTATACATAAAATACAGATGATCTGTGAATGGATTTAATTATTTGTATGAATTTGAAGCAGTTAAGAGCGAGTAGCTCACAAACTAATTAATGTATTTCCGTTATTAGGGATGATTTTGAACAGTCGTCATTTTGTGGGAAAAGAAAAGGCCACTCCCATCATTTAGACTGACTCAAATCAGGTCAAGAGATGGCAGAACGTGGGCTGAGATATCTACGCCATCTCCTTGCTAGCACGAGAGGAGACGAGTCATTTCAAGCCCGGGAACACATACTGCACTCAAGTAAAAAAAAAATCAATAACACTCCAATACTGATGCATCCTTAACCAGAATTGCCTTGCAATTTGGCCTTAGTTTCTTACTGGTATCTAGCAATTAATCACCAAGAAGGTATGATATCCAGGACTCTGACCCCAAGATATTTGGTTTGCTTTGGCTTAGGTTGATCGATGCTCCTTAATCATCTGACATTAAACATAGAAAGTTTTATGTCCATGAGTGCTATTCAAAAATATATCTGAACACTCAATGACACAACTATCACTCCGGCCCATCACATCACACCTATGTAACATCCACAAGATCTGAACTTAAAATAGCAAAGAAAGGAGATGGCACACACACAGCTAACTAGTATTTATTTTTGAGCATCTCCTCAGCATTACCTTGTCACTAGACTGGGTCTAGTCATGAATCTGCTCAAGAATCAATATATTCACACATATGTTCCTATAGTGGCAAACATGGAGTAGATATCCAGGGAAGGCACTAAGTTCAAGAGGAAATGAACTAGCTCTACAGTTGATGTCTTGACAATGTGACAAGGTGCTACATCAAATGAAAGGATTATTATTAATAATGAAATCTATGAAGGGGAGTAGAGCGATTTTTATTTTGGGATCAGCTAGATGCCTTCTGGTCCTACACACAATGTCAAGACTTCAGTTTTCCACCTCAAGTGCATCCACCTCATGAATGACCGCAAAACTATTAACTGAGCAGATGGTACAGAATGCCTCAGCTATTCCTCGAGACCTTTTGAAACTTGGGATCTTTTTCCTTACTTATTTGGATTTTATACCATCTGATCTATCAAATCTAGGAAATCACTTTTACATGCTAAAGAAATCCATGTCCGGCTTCCTGCTCCAGCTCACTGAGGTACCAACAAAGGCTCCTTCATCCAGAAATAACTTGGCTGGCTTAATGGCTGGCTAATCCATTGACTGATTGGAAGAGAAATGAAGTATAGTATTAGGGAGTCCTGTAGCGTAGTGGTTAGAGCACTCACCTCGCAAGCAAGAGAACCTAGGTTCTCGATGCCTGGGCAGGGCAAAATGTTGGGTAAGTTTCCTAACTCCACACGCCTCTGTTCACCCAGTAGTAAGTAGGAACCCAGTTGTTAGTCAATTGGCGGATCGTTTTTCCTGGGGTAATAATCCCTTTAAAAAAATTTGGTCATTCAATCCACGACTGTTCGTGGGACACTGCTGTGTCCAATTGGCTGCCACATGTCACCCACAAAACATAGTCAATTCCCTTTACAGTATATTCTGTGAAGTGCTTTGAGACATTTCGCTATATCAAATGCAAGTATTATTATAGAAGCTAAGTGCAAAGATTGATAAAGGAAATGAACAGGACATCAATTCAAAAGTTCCTCAGAGCTAGATCAAACACTTAGAATACCATGCTTAGAAACTAGGAAGGCTCAGGAATTCAATGGACAAGGTCCAGAAAATCACTGAATCCCCCCAAAAATCCTGTACAGCAGATGATGTAGTGTTGAACAACATAGGTATTAAACAAGCCAGATAATTAAATGTCCATCCTTCCTTGCAACTCTCCCAAAACATCTGTGATATTCCAATATTTCCACAAAATTCTGTGATCTATCCTTGCGGGCGGGTGGGAGGGGGAGGAGTTGGAGAAGTTAAATGGGGTGCCCTTGGAGCTAAACTGTAATGTTGGAATCGACCAGCTCTCTGTGACAGTCCAGTTCCTGAGCCAGACGGTCCACCATATTCTAAGGCACTGCTGATGACAGCACAGAGTCTGACTAGGTAGGATTTGAAGGGCAGCCAGCAGATGAACCAGAATGTTTATAACAAACCAAGCTTGTAAACTATCAGAAATCACAAATTAGTAAGTAAGCTATGAGTGATAGTAACCTATCACAAATTAGGTGACTGCCCCCTCCCCATTTTCAGATCACACCTGAAGATATTCCTTTTCAGTCATGGTTATGGTCACCTCTCCACTTCCCTGGCTTGGTGTCATGTTCTACCACTGTTAAGTGCTCCGAGACGCTACCCCATGTGAAGACACTATAAAAATGCAAGTTCTTGTTATTGATTTATTCTGTATTTTTTAAAGGCATATTTCCAACCAGGTTCCCTTCATTTTGTGTGCTTACATGATAAGGGTGAAGCAATAATAAATTTCCTTGTTAAAAATGAATCATGCATCATGGGGCTTTTGGAGCATCTTCCAACCAAGTCTTCCAAGCATCAGAATGCTGCAGAGAGAAAACAAGGGTTTATGTTAAATCATAGGAAACTAGGCAACATATTTAAATCTTTAACTCAATGTGGATCACAAAGAGACAATGCAACATAGTTTGTTGTTGCGGAGAAATTGAAGTAAATAGGTGTTTTCATTATAGTAAATTTCAACAAGAGGCACGATTATTGGTACCCTTAAATTAGGCAAATGATTTTTGGGGGGAGGGATTAGTTTTTTAAATAAAAACTGGCTATGAGGTGACTAGCATGTGACATTATTTTTGCTGCTTTTAAACTAAGGATTTGCCAAGTATGAGCAGACGAAGAATATGTCTTGACTTAAGTCACCCACGGTTAGACCCTTTCTATCATTGGATCTATTTCTGACAATGTTACTGTTTGTGGGGGGAGGGAGTAGATTTTTCACTTTGCAATGTCATTCTTATGTTCAGACATGCACAATGCCTTTGAGGCAGATTTTATTTTATCCCGATCACTGCCTCCTAAATAGCACTAGCAGAACCAGGAAAAAGGCTGGGAGCAAATGACCTGATGTTCAGTTGCGTCTCCTGGTCTCTACTGCTATTATTTTGTTTGGGGTTGATAAGGGGAAAAAAACTTCTAAAGTCTTGCACATGTGCAAAGAGTATGACTTCACTACAAAATGAAAAGAAAATAATAATAATAATCCTTGCATTTGAGATAGCACCTTGTCATGTTGTTGAGAGTAACACTGATAGACAACAGACTCAGTGAAAGGATTTCACTATATATTTGCTTCATTGATACTCTCTCCCAAATGTTCTGCTCTTCCCGTCTCCTCCGCAGTGGGTAAATCAAAAAAGTCAGACCTGTAATATTGGACTTACACTCACGGCTTTCAACTGCCATGTTATTCACTTATCAAAAAAATCCATTAGCCAGCAGTTCATGGCTCAGAAACCCAATGCCACAGACCCAGCGTTTCCACTGTGATAAGACCACGGAAAGAAAGGGGGGTGGGGGGGAGGTTAGTCTACCTCCAGCCCATCCAATGTGATGAACATTACATGGACTCTAAATTTGCCCCTTTGGATGAAAAGAGCCTTTCAACAAATTGTTCATCAGAAATTAAGAACATTCACAGATTCTACAGTGAACCCAAGATGGTGTGACCCACCACCCAAAATGAGTTTGATACCTTGGTCTGTAGCATACTACAAATATAGAATAATGGAAACCCATGATAAGGTGCACCCTTATCCACAAATTTGCTTATAAATGCAGATTATTATTATGGGTGCTCTGTGGACCTGCAATTTGCTTAAGTGACTGGCCGGCTACCCGCACGCACACTAAAAAATTGCAGACTTCCAGGTTTGAGGTCGTTGGTAACATCACACCCTCCATGCCAGCTGGAATTTTATAGATCTCAACTACAACCTTGTAACAGGATTCCACATGATATACATTTAAAGAGTTAACACATTATCTTTTTTGTTATTCTGTAATTCAATCACTTCAATCAAAATGTGTGCCTTAAGAAGGTAATGTTAAATTCCTTTACATCCACAAGGAGATTGTCATTCTTACCTTAACCCAGCGACTAAACCAGCTGGCATGAATTTCCCTGAATTGTAGAATCTGTATCCCATTACTCCAGTCAATGTTCCTGAAGCAACTTTCAATCAAAAAGACACAAAATGAGTAAGTCCATATGTGGGTCCTTCCATAAGTAAACTTCGGACAGATACATTTCAATTCTCAGCTATTCTTTGGCTGAATTCCCTGCACATCAAATGATAAATGAGCCCTGCCATAATATTGAGCCATCTGAAATAGATCCAATTATCAGTGGCTAAATATCAAGTGGTGTAAATACCACCCCAATAGACTCACCAGCTCACACACTTGGAAGTCGTTTGCTCTCCAGTTCTGAGTCGGAAAGTAATTCACATGAAATTGATCATTCTAACAGCCTTTTGTTCAACAGACTTAAAAGCACAGTTGCAGAAAGTGAAACTTTTTTGCTTTTAATAGGCTCTAGTTTTGAATTGGTTGCTTATTTCACAATCCTCAAATAATTAAAATGCCTTGTTCCACTTTGATTAAACTGCAGTCAGTTTCCAATTACATAGCTAAGCATGCCGCTGATGGGGTGAATTAACTTACAGTCCATACAGCATGAAAGGCAGTACGGACACTGCAGCATATGTCTACCAAAGATACAGCACATCAGAGCAACATACCATTCTCACATGACTATGCACTAGCAACAGTGCCTTCAGATATAATCATATCTTCCCATTCAGCAAACATCTAATGCCAAACAACGGGAACAATGGGTCACGGAGCCTGGTGCGTGAGAGTACACGAGCTGCAGAGTTTGGATGATCTGCAGCTTGTGAAGGGAAGAGTTGGGAAGGCCGATGAGGAGGGAGTTCCCGTAAGGTGACGAATGCGTGGATGAGGGTTTCTGCAGCCTGAGCGGTGAGGCAGTGGCGGAGTCTGGCAATGTTGCGGAGGTGGTGGTAGGCAGTGCCGATCATGGCGCAGATATGGGGGAGAAAGGACAGTTCAGGATCGAACAAGATACCCAGATTCCTGACTGGCTTAGTGAGGTTGAGTGTGCAGCCGTGGAGGCTGATACTGCCAGTGCCCGAGGTGGAAGAAAGGGATTCAAATACTCACATAGGGACAGCCATATATTGTGGGGATTTTCAGAGATCTGGTAGGCACCGATTCCAGCAATACTCCCAAAAATCAGGCCCGCAGCCAAAGAGGGGACACTGCCTGATTGTGGAAGAAACACTTCATTAAATGCAAAATACATTCCAAGATAACAAGACAAAATCATTGATCTTTACGTATTTTTTTCGAGTCAGCTAGGTGTCAGATACATGCAAAAACCCATTACCATGCTTAAGAGAATGCAAACCAACATACTGTTTACCACCAAAGAAATTTCTCTGTGGTGGGATAGAATGTGGATTCTCTCCCTGAAGTATTAGATGCAGCTTAGCGAGAGTGGGGCTTGGGGACCCCAGAGGATGCGCTGACGTACGCCTGTAGCTTAATTGGTTTTAATAGGTTATAAATATGTTTTATTTGGGAACCTATAAACTGAATGAAACTGAAATTGTTTTGATAATAATATTTATTATTATCTAAATTGTTTTATTGTACAGTTAGAGGTAAAAGACTTTTGACACAATTGGTTAATTTAAAATAATTGTCATCAATAATAAGCAGGGGGTGGGGGCAATGAAAAACAACAATCTGCAACAAAATGTTAAATAGATAAGAACGTAACTTTGAGATAGTGTGCTGTTCCCCACCCTTCTCAGAACAGATAGTTCCAAGACTTAACTATCCTGATAAGTACTGCAACAGTTTCCCAAACCACACTGAATGTGTGGCTCATTCTTCTACTGCCCCTCCCTTTCTCCTTGGAGAGAAATGAAAGACATTTGAATTTATCGCAGTGGAGCAGAAGACCTCTGCCACCTTTTTAAAAAAGGAAAAAAAAACTGTACATTGCAATGATATTTTTCCAGTCTATTACCAATGCCAACATTTTGCACTAATGAGACTGGAACATTGACCAGTTATTCAACTGTTGGCCCATCCCCAGCCAAGCCTAATCCTGTCTTCACCCAACATTACAGGCGTATGTATATTTTCCAGTTGATCAGTAATAGCAATATTTTCTTTACCTCCTTAGTCTAGAAACACTGCGGACCCAGTGATCCACCTCATCTCAGCTAAGAGCAGGGTTTAAGCATGAATCTGACCATTTTCTCTAAGTGGAACTCAAAGCCAGTTCCTGTGGCATGTCTGAAACTGCCAGCCAGTCAATGCACAATGAAATGCCAGTCAATACACAATGAAAATTTCTTCAGCAGTATTTTTATTGAGTCAAAAACTAAATCCAAGAGCACTGTCCACATCAGAGGTGTCAATCTCTCCAGGTTTCGCCCACAAAATACACAGTCAATCTACTTTACAATATATTCTGTGAAGCGCTTTGAGACGTCTCAACTATGTGATAAGGCGCTATATCAAATGCAAGGAATATTATTAACTTAGGTCACAGAGCGAGCATCATTACACAGGGAAACGATACGAAAGATATTCTGGGAACATGGAAGCAATTAATAATAATAATCCTTGCATTTGATATAACAGTTTTATGTGAATTGTAGTGGAAACATCTTACACAAGAGCAGTTGTGTGGGGAGTGCTCCGGGACGCTACCCCACGTGAAGGGTGCTATATAAATGCAAGTTGTTATTGTTGTTGAGTGATACAAGGGTGGCAGTTTCATAGAGGAAACTAGTTGCACAGGAGAAAAACTAGTAAAACCTGCATTTGATATAATGCTTTTCACATCCAGTGGATGTCTCAAAACACTTTACAGGACTTAGTGTAAGGTGTTGGGACTGTATGTTGTTGGCAAATGCACCAGCCAATTGGCACACAGCAATGTCCAACAAACGGTCATGAAGCGAGTGACAAATTATATTTGGGAGATTGTTCGCCAGAACACTTGGAGAAGTTACATCCTCTTATTGAATAGTGCCATGGGATTTTTAACATCTACCTGAATCGGCAGACAGGATCACAGTTTTACAGCTCATCCAAAGGATGTTATCTCTGACAATCTCCTGCCAACCAACTTCTGGCCTCAATTTTTTCAATGCACTCCTCAACAATCACCCCAGCTCCAAAACAAACGAGGTGCATGTGATACAAAACTTTGCCACCCATGTCCTCACTCACACCAGGCTCCGCACTCCTATCACCCCAGTCCTCGCCAGGCTCCGCTGGCTCCCTGCTCCAGAACAGAACGATTTCAAGATCCTCACTTTTCCTTTCAGATCTCTTCTCGCCCTGACACTTCCCTACTTCTCCGATCTGCTCACACATTTCCACTCAGCTAGCTCGGACCTTCTCCACATTCCTTGTCCCCTCAGCTTTATCATCAGAGGCCATGCTTTCAGCCATTATACCCTTCAGGCTGAAACTCTCTGCCTCAATCCCTCTGTATTGCCCCCTTTCCTCTTCGGCCGGGTTAAGCGCTCTGAGACACCACCTTCTTTAAGGTTGCTATATAAATGAAAGTTATTACTGACAGTGGAGCACACCCTCAGCATTGCACCGGTGTCAGGCTAACCTGTGACCTTCAAGTCCTGATGTGGGGCTTGACAACTTGGGGGTCCAAACGTCCCCCAATTTCCAGGGACAGTCCCCAGATGAGGTTTTGTGTCCCTGGGGCCAAATTTGCCCGGACTTGACTTCACCAACAAACTTGAGCAAGAATAACATTGTAAAACAGACAACACTCACTCATCAGAGAAATACAGCCATTAATCCAACAGCCTTCCCCAGCCCAGCACTGCCAGCCCTGCCCTGCCAGCCCTGCCCTGCCAGCACAGCCCTGCCAGCACAGCCCTGCCCTGCCAGCACAGCCCTGTCCTGCCAGCACAGCACTGCCAGCCCAACCAGCACAGCCCAGCACTGCCAGCCCAGCCCTGCCAGCACAGCCCTGTCCTACCAGCCCAGCACTGCCAGCCCTGCCTGTCCAGCCTGCCCTGCCAGTCCAGCCTGCCAGTCCAGCCCTGCCTGTCCTGCCAGCCCAGCACTGCCAGCCCTGCCAGCCCTGCCAGTCCAGCCCTGCCTGTCCTGCCAGCCCTGCCAGTCCAGCCCTGCCTGTCCTGCCAGCCCTGCCTGTCCTGCCAGCCCAGCACTGCCAGCCCTGCCAGCCCAGCACTGCCAGCCCTGCCAGCCCAGCACTGCCAGCCCTGCCAGCCCAGCCCTGCCCTGCCAGCCCAGCACTGCCAGCCCTGCCAGCCCAGCCCTGCCCTGCCAGCCCAGCACTGCCAGCCCTGCCCAGCCCTGCCAGCCCAGCCCTGCCCTGCCAGCCCAGCACTGCCTGCCCTGCCCAGCCCTGCCCTGCCCTGCCAGCCCAGCACTGCCAGCCCAGCCCAGCCCTGCCAGCCCAGCCCAGCCCTGCCCTGCCAGCCCTGCCAGCCCAGCCCTGCCCTGCCAGCCCAGCACTGCCAGCCCTGCCCTGCCAGCCCAGCACTGCCTGCCCTGCCCAGCCCTGCCTGCCCTGCACAGCTGCCCAGGAATTCGCGCTCTCTCTCTCTCTTACCCGCCTTTGCATATCCGATGATGCCTCCAGACGCCACTAGAGCCGCGTAACCGTAACCCAACCAGTCCACCGCCATCAGCCCGAGCAGCAACTGCACCTCACCCTCTGCCCCGCGCACTGCTGCCGCTCACTCTCCACCCCCCGCGCCTGCGCACTGCTGCCGCTCACTCTCCACCCCCCGCGCCTGCGCACTGCTGCCGCTCACTCTCCTCCCTCCGCGCCTGCGCACTGCTGCCGCTCACGCTCCTCCCCCCGCGCCTGCGCACTGCTGCCGCTCACGATCCGCCCCCCGCGCCTGCGCACTGCTGCCACTCACGCTCCTCCCCCCGCGCCTGCGCACTGCTGCCGCTCACAATCCTCCCCCGCGCCTGCGCACTGCTGCTCCTCGAAGCACAGAGGCAGTGGAGCTCATGTCACGTGCTAACAACAACTTGCATTTATATAGCGCCTTCTCTTGGGGCGGTGTCCCCGAGCGCTTGGACGTGCACATTAGTGAAGCTATAATAGAAACTCATTTCTATCTCACATCTCGCATGTAGTTATCAATCGTCCTCCCGACATTTATTTTGTGTTCTGACACCATAAAAATGCAAGTTCATAGTGTACATCAGATCCTTGACCACCTTCTTCCGTCTCTGAAATATCGTCCATCTCGTCTGGTACCTCACCCCATTGCAATCAAATTCCTGTCCATGCTCATCACCTCAAGGCTAGATTTTTCTCATTGGCCTCCCTAGTTCCATAAGCTCCAGCTCCTACAAGCTCTACAGACTATTTCCTCTCCCACACGAAACTCCACCTGCCCATCACCTCATGCTCTGCAAACATCTGCCTTATCTTCCAGTGAATAGATCTCATCATCATCCTAACCATGTATCAAGAAGAGTATAAAAAGTATCAATCTGATAATTACACCAAAATAACATTTATTAAGTCATGGTCTAGTCATGCAATGTTTTAATTTCAAGAATTGTGCTCTTAAGGGTCCATGTGTGCAAGATATAACCTCTCTCTGAGAAAGTTGCCAGTTCAAGGTGTTAAGGACAACTACATACAGCCCTCATACCAATGCTTCCAATTGCATATCATTCATTCATTGAAGAGCACACTTGACAAATAGCAGTACACAGAGTAAAACTGTCAAAAAAGCTCTTTAGATCATTCAGAATCTGCAGAGCTGCAGTATTGAAGTCAGCCTGAAGAAAGAACTTTCTTCATTTATTGTTTCCTCTTTTTCTTCTTGGTTTCTTTCGACTGTTTTTTTCTCTTCTGTGTTGTTTGCTGCTTCGTCTGCTCTGTCTGCTCGGTCTCCTCCGCAGGGTTACATTTTACTAACTTTTTCTTACACCCTGGCAATTTATTACCAACTGCTTTTTCTGCAACTGAAAATAGGGAGGGAAATAATTAGAAACACTAAACGGGACTAGGCTGGCTCGCCGACAAATTCTGTTCTTCACACAGCGAATATTCACAGGGGTTTTATTATAGAGATCACTGAAATATAGCACACACTAAATAGGAAAGCCCAAATAGTCTTTTGCAGCTTACAATACAATGACTTTTCAAAACATTCGCACCTCTCACATTTAGACTTTTTTTTAAAAAGGTTATGATGATCCCATCACTAATTAAAAGGGAAGTTTCTCCTATTATCTTGGCCAATAATCCTTTAAAAATCGTTCAGATCCTTTGTTATGATCCTTTATTGTTTATCATGGGGAACAGACGGGTGTTTGATCCATCATAAATCCATTATTATGCTTAACCAAACCAGACCTAGAATTCCAAGTAGGCCACCTATACATGGAATGGATAGAATGCACACTCTCTCTCTCCAGAGGGACACATCCTATTTACCTAATTTCAGAGAATAATTAGACATAGATAATCAAGACCCAAGGCTTGGGGACCCCCAAAGTGTGTGTTGAGCTACTGCTGGAACTTAACTAGCTAAAAAACACACTCCTCATTGCTTGTCCAGCTAAGGACCACCCTTACCAATTTTGACTTTGGCCTACTAGGTTAAAGGAGCTGAGTGGGAAGAATATCTGCAATAACTGGTCTGCCCCTCCAAGTCCTGCTGATCAGCCAGGTTGCTGGGCTGTCGTCAACAGTGCCCTGGAGTACTGAGGACCCACCTGGCTCAGGAACTAATTCCAACCGCCACAGAGGGCTGGCTCGATTCCGACATTCTGTTGCAAAGATATCAGATTGGGGCCAATTCAGCTCCAAGGAGAACCCTGCTTAACTTCCCCTCAAAGATAGTCACCAGTTAATAATAATAATAATAATAATCCTTGCATTTGATATAGCGCTTTTCACGTCGGGAGGACGTCCCAAAGCGCTTCACAGAACACACTGTAAAGTGAATTGACTGTATATTTGTGGGCGAACGCGGCAGCCAATTGCGCACAGCAATGTCCCACAAACAGTCGTAGATTGAAAATGACCAATTTTATTATTGTTTTTTGTTTTTTTGGAGGGATTATTATTAGGCGTGTGGAGTAAGGAAACTTGCCCAAGGTTTCTCCCTGCCTGGAATTGAACTCAGGTCTCTCGCTTGCAAAGCGAGTGCTCTAACCACTGAGCTACAGGACTCCACAAACTACAGTTGATCATTTGACATCCGACAAGCACAGATTTGAGTTCTCATTAGAAGGACGGCAGGTATCAGGAACTCCCTGTGAGTTTGCTGATCAACCACATGGCTGAGCACGAAATGTGGGAGAGCATTGCCACCAAAGGTAACAAGTCACATTGGGAAACAGACGTATCATTGTCTGTGCACTGAATCAGTAACCTTTAGGTGCAACATTATATACATTTCTTCTCTGTATTTTCAACATTCGTTATCTAGAAATAAACTCATGCACGGATTGTCATGCAATGGCAGACTGAATATTCAAACCATGAAATGTTTTGCATCCATACCTTCGCACTGCTTGCTTTCCTCTTTAGGCTCTTCTCCAGCGTTTGACAGCCAAACAGCTAAACAGGTTAGTCTAGCCGAGGTGCTCACTTTACCCAGCAGCAACGGAGAATTTTGTAGCTGCAATATCCATAATAGAGGCTTAGATTATATCCATTAACCACAGAGGTACACTTGAAGAAACCATAAAATGGTTTATATAAGAGGGAGCTAACCTGGTACAGTAACAATAGGCCAAATGGCTCCTGTGCTGCAATTTCTATGATTGATATTATACATTATTCAGCAGGAGCTACAAACTGAATAGGCCCCAATGGGATTATAATAATAATCCTTGCATTTAATACAGCACTTTATATCATAAAGATTTCTCAAAGCACTTCAGAGGATATATTGTAAAGTGGTGTAACTGTGTGTATTTTGTGGGCAAACTCAGCAGCCAATTTGTACACAGTCCTAAAACAGCCAGTGAGTAAATGATCAATTTTATTTGGGGAACTGTTAGCCAAGATTCCCTTCTGTTTTTGAATAGTGCTATGGGATAAACGCCCAATGGAATAGGCAGACAGTGCCTTGGATTTACGTCTCATACAAACAACAGTACCTCCGACAATGAATTTGGCTCTAAGCAAAACGTCAACAACAACAACAACAAGATTCCATTTATAGAGCGCCTTTCACGTCGGGAGGACGTCAACCCAGTACCTAGTGGGTGTGGTCTAGAGCAAGAACTGCCAGAACTGAGCACAGTTGTGGAAAATAAAAAGATTGCACTGCTTCTTTGCTCATCCAAGATTGGAGAGAATTGTAAGCCAATGAAAAGGGAGCTTTGTTGAGAAAACTAGCAAACCCATCCCAGAAAGAGATCAATGAAGAGTGGAAAATTTCCAAAATATGGCATTCCTGGATAAAGCACAGAGCAAAGTCTTGGGACATCAAGACTCAGCTACAGAGCAAAACAGAACACAATAAAATATACATCTATTGCTCTCAATGCTGCCCCTCAATTCCTTGATCTATTTTTAAGAGCTTCAAACTTCTGTGAATGTCTCTGAATCTCAAAGTCAATGTCCTCCCGACGTGAAAGGCGCTAAACAAATGTAATCTTGTTGTTGTTGTTGTCTTGACTGCAGCTATAAAAACTCCAGGAAATATTGAGCACTTACAGGGAAATGTATCACAGAGGGATCAAAGTCTCAGTGGTCTCAGGGCTCCTGCACATTCAGAGACAGGACGGTCCTATTTTGCTAAAGTGTATAATTCCATTTCCAGGCACACTTCAAGGATTTATGTAAATGAGAGCCATACCAACCTTTTCAAGGTCAAGCTTCCACAATTTAATATACCCGTCGCTTGAAGCTGTGGCAAGAACATGACTCTGTGGCGTCTGGAAGCTGTCCAGGGCTTTCACTCTGAGACAATTGAAAAAATAGTTCATTACAAGTGTACAAGACACAAATGGTGTTTGTAACAGCATCAATCCAGAATTCAGATTTGCATTTATATAGCGTCTTTTCACATTGGATGTCCCAGGGTGCTGGAGTAGCAGCTAACTCCCAGTACACGGTCACTGTTCCAGCCCCAGTGTCTCAAATCACTCATCTGTTGCTGAATTTAATGGTCTCAACCCAGCGGAGAGCAGTTAGGTTTGAGCTCAATGTCTCCCTAAGGTAGCACTCAAATACACAACCTTGTGATTCGTGCTCAATCTGGTCAGGATAAAACAAGGATGAAGACAATCCAATCCTGTGTTACAGCTTTCTCTCTGGATATGGCCTGACTTCAGCTGAGCTGTAGTTAAACAGGCAGCAGCCAAATTCTAGCACCTTGCAAGACAGATTATTCCATCAGAGCCGAATCTGATACTGCGTTCACAGTATCTACCATATCTACAACACAGACAATATCTGCCACACATTCCCAGCAGAAGTCACCAGATAGTGATCAGAAGCAACAGCAGGAACTGAGCCCCTCCTTTGCGTAGCTGCCACTAGTGTGGTTCCCCATCCTTCTGATCTCACCCGGCATCAGAACAAACATCAGTCAGTCCAACACATCAGTCAGTCCAACACATCAGTCAAATCCAGTGAAACCAATTTTGTCTAAGTCACAATCTCCCTCGGTTAAGTCCCAGCTGCCTAGGATTCAGATCTTCAACATTAAAAATGCTGCCTGAATAATTACCCCAAGAACTTCAAAGGATTTTTGATGTTATTTTTAAGCAGAATAGTTGCCCTATACTGACGGTGATCTTCAGCATCATTCACCTAAGCACCGGCGATATTCGCGCTGCATTTTTCACTGAGTTTCAGTCCTATTTTTACATTGAATCTATGTATAAATAGTCAAAATGACATATTCATAGGCTACAAGTGTTAAAACATCCAAAATTCGCTGAAGATTGCCAATGTACAGAGCACAAACCTCATCATACCTGGTTTCGTGAGCTTTGAACTCACAAATGCACTTCTGTGAGTTTGTGTCATACAACCGAACAACCTCTTCATCCCCAGCAACAGCAATGACAGACTCCTAGAGATAAGCCAAAGGTTTAATTACAGCAATCAGCCTGAGCTCCTCGTCCGCCAGTAACCTCTCCGATAATGTGGAAGTGAACTGTAATGATCAATACGTGTCAGACTGACTTCAGGACCATCAAAGGACAGCAATACAAATTTACAAAGGAACAAAAAAACGTGAGAGTTAATGCCACATAGTAATAATAAACTAGAACTAGTTTCTAAAATAATAAAAATACAAACAAAATTAATTTCCCACTCATCATTTTTCTTTTACAAAGACATTTTAAAACTTGGTTAATAATAGACGAAAACAAATCAGCCATTCACCGAAGTTGGCTCTGCTGGTCAAGAAGTTAACCCCTTCAACAACAAATTGACATTTATATGGCGCCTTTCACATCAGGAGGACATCCCAAGGTGCTGGGCAATCCAAGGGTGCACGCAAGCTGAGAGTGTGAGCCTAAGGGAAAAGAAGATCGGAAGTGTGCCAAAGGGAAAGATCTTAAGGACCTTGAAGGAGGCGAATTGTAGTGACTCCAGGATGGAGTTTCAGGATGTGGGGCAGATACGCTGAAAGCCCAATTGCTGACGGTTTGATAGTACGGTGGTGGAGGTGAAGTAAGTTTCATTTCACTAAGTAAACACTGCAAGAAACTTACCGTTACAAATTTCAGTGCTGAGACCCTTGTTTGGGACTGGATGACCCCACTGACGGAGGCAGTCGTGAGGCTGTAGATGTCCAGCTGCTTACCCAAAACCACAATATAGCTCTCGCCACTTGGTGACCATTGGACAATTTGAGCATCTGAGAAATATAAAGCCAGAACTTGGTGAAGCATCCATGTCGCCAGCATCACAGGTTACAAATACAAACTCAACCCTATCAACTCTAGTCCGAGACCAAGTGGAAGGTTTCCTGTTGTCAGTCAAGAACACTTATTGTAACTGGACTTGCCTTCAGCGACGATTAACAATGGTGCACCCGGTTTACACGCACACCTGTACCTGCTGCGTGTGGTGAGGGAGACTGGTATGAAGGGGGGAAACAATTCAAAATGTTCCTCAGTTTATCATCCTTGCATTTGATATAGTGCCTTACCATGTCAGCAAGACATCTCAAAGCGCTTCACAGCATTTAGGGTGTAATCAAAATGTAGTTTGTAGGCAAACGTGGCAACCAATTTTCACAAATAGCTGTGAAATAAATGATCAGAGGGAATGTTGGCCAGGACACCAAAATAAACCCCTTTCTCTTTTCAAATCATGCCTGGGATCTTTTACATCTGAACAAACTGATGGGACCTTGGTTTCACATTTCATCTAAAGGATGGCACCTTCGACACTGCAGCGCTTCACTAATACTACACTAGCATCGGCTTACAGTATGAGCTCAAAGTTCAAACATGGGGCTTGAACCCACAACCTTCTGAATCAGAGGCGAGAGTGCTACCAACTGAGCCAGGATGACATGGATAAACATAAAACATAGTTAGAGTTTTGTTTTTAGAGACCTAGCAATATGGATGCAGATCACTGAAAACATTAGCAAAATAGCAAACAGTGCTTCTTTTTTCTCTTCCTCCGTTTTCCCTTTTAATTGTGGATTTTGCAGCAGCGGGAGATTTAGTCTATATGTGTCCTGTGCTTCGCCTGAGTGAATCAATTGGAATCCTGCTTGACTCCAGTACTTAAAGTGTAAGGAGTAGAGCAGGATTCCATTCCCATGTACTGCACCCTTAACTCAAATAGTTACATTCTCACATCAACTTACTTTGCTTTATATTTTTAATAAATGCAGATTTTCCATCAATCAGATTCCACGTCCTGTAGAAATGCAAAAAGCAATCAGTCATATAAGTGCTAAACCTGTGCAGGGCTAGTGTTATAACAATACAATACAAATTTATATTTATACAGCACCTTTGGATACTCGAGCTGGGGTGTGAGCTGAAGGGGGTGGGGAGGTTCAAGTGCCATCAAAGAGGTAGGTCTTGAGATGGATCTTGAATGTCGGTGAGGGAGTCAGAGAGAGGCTCTACTGTATACAGTTCTGTCATTCATATTTTAAAACTACCCACTAATCTCTTTATCAAAAATGTGAAAATAAAACTTATGGTCTTGTGCATCACACCAAGGAAGCAGTCTGTTTTTAAACATACAGTGCTTCCCCGATTTTTTACGTACCTCAATGTCTTGTCCGTTCCCACTGATAACGCGAGTTTTCCAGATGGGTGCACTGAGAGCGATGACACATGACCTCTGGTTAAACAAAGTAGTCATCTTAAATCGCATATCACACTTCAAGGTGATTAATCAAAGTTGTACTTGCAACCCAAAACCTTCCAGACAGTTTTCAAATCAGCTGACTGCAGCGACAAGTTATAATAGCCTCAGAATGCAGCAATGAACCTTACTTGTGAGCTCGAATAGACTTCAGACATTCCCACTTCTTTGTTCCCCACACACAGAGGAGACCGTCCTCTCCCCCACTCAGCAAGTGTTTATTCCCGTGAAACTCCAGACAGGTTATTGTGCCTTTAAGAAAGAGAGGACGATAGCTTTAAAGCACAGGTGCATACGTTTGTGTATTTTTATATTCATAACATTGAAACAGTAAGTCACGCAGAGGCAGACAAACAAGATATGGAGTCAGCTTGGAGGTAGTCTTGCCTCTGGGTCAGAGGTTATGGATTGAAGAAGCCTCATGTCAATCTGAATGAACGGTGCAGTATTGAGGGAATGCTGACTCTTTTAAGAGCAATCCTCTCAGTCCCATTTATCTGCCCTTTCCCCATACCCCTGTAGTTGAATCATGTGAAGTACATTTGAGATGTCCTCCTGATGTCAAAGGTGCAATACCAAATGCAAGAATTATTATTAGTACTATTAGCACTATTATAAAAAGACTTGCGCAGTAAATCAAGAATTATCCTACGTATTAATTAGCAAACTTCAGCACAATTCTTCCTGGTCTTTAATGCAACAGTACCAAAATGGTCAATTTTATGAAGACATCTGCACTTGGACGTTATACAGCCCAATGTACAAAAAGCACCCAGCTTTCCCCATTAAAACGTTCTACTCTATCAATGTCAGCTATTTTCACAAACATTATTTCAGTTCCTCCAATAATCAAAAACATTCCGTCTCTTTACTAGATCTTCTAAATTTATTTCCTTGCCTTTTCCTCATATACTGTACTTTTATTTTGGTCAGCCAGGTGGAAACCGATCACCATGTTTAAGAGTATCCAATCCAGACCTAGAGCTCAATGTATGCCACCTACAAACAAAAATATTGCAGGTTGGCCAAAGTCAAGGTTTGGTAGCCCTAGAATGTGCCTTGAGATACCACTGGAGTTTAACCAACCATTGATATCACTGCCTGGCATGCTTTGCTCTGCTTGTCCAGCTAGAACCACCCAAGCCGTTAGGGCTTTGGCTGCCTGGGCTAACAGTAGCTGAGCGGGATCCCTGCACCCAGTGACTGTTCTGCGCCTCCAAGTCCTATTGATGTGCCAGACTGGCTGGGATGTCATCAGCAGTGCCTGGAGATTCGCCTGTTCAGGAACTAAACCATCGAGACCACCACAGAGAATCAATGCGATTCTGCCATTATTTTCCAACTACCCATTTTACTTTTAAATCTGCCAATTGATTCGTCACGCACATCGCTACTTACCATCATGGTGCAATAATGACCCGTGATCGACCTTCTTTGTCATGTCGTACAGCTGAATAGTTTCATCTTTACTCCCTGTTGCCACATATCGATTATTTACAGCCACTGCTGTTAAAGAGGCAGTGTGAGCATGATGAGTGAAGTCAGCTTCCGCATCCCAGCTCTACAAGAGAAGGACAGGCAGCGAAATTTACAACAGTGCTCTTTGGGATCGGACCCTAAACAGAAGCCAAGCTTTCGGGGGGGGGGGTTACTAGCTCTGATACATGGGGTGGGGTAATCGTCCTGATATGGGGGTGGAGGCTATACAGTTAGCTCTGACCGGGGGAGTGGTGGGGGGGGGGACAGTATTAGATCTGACCCTAGGGGGGTACAGTATTAGCCCTGACGGGGGTGGGTGGGGGGTATAGCATTAGCCCTGACGGGGGTGGGTGGGGGGTATAGCATTAGCCCTGACGGGGAGGGGGTGGGGGGGTATAGCATTAGCCCTGACGGGGGGGGGGTATAGTATTAGCCCTAACCGGGGGGTGGGGGGTATAGTATTAGCCCTGACTGGGGGTGGGGTGGGGGGTTTAGCATTAGCCCTGACTGGGGGGGTGGGGTGGGGGGGTATAGCATTAGCCCTGACGGTGGGGGTGGGGGGGGGGTATAGTATTAGCCCTGACGGTGGGGGTGGGGGTGGGGGGTATAGTATTAGCCCTGACTGGGGGGGTGGGGGTGGGGGGTATAGCATTAGCCCTGACGGTGGGGGGTGGGGGTGGGGGGGTATAGCATTAGCCCTGACGGTGGGGGGTGGGGGGGTATAGCATTAGCCCTGACGGGAGGGGTGGGGGGTATAGCATGAGCCCTGACGGGGAGGGGGTGGGGTATAGTATTAGCCCTGACGGTGGGGGGGGTGGGGTATAGTATTAGCCCTGACGGGGTGGGGGTGGGGGGGGGGGGTATAGCATTAGCCCTGACGGTGGGGGTGGGGGGTATAGTATTAGCCCTGACGGTGGGGGGTGGGTATAGCATGAGCCCTGACGGGGAGGGGGTGGGGTATAGTATTAGCCCTGACGGTGGGGGGTGGGTAAGTATTAGCCCTGACGGTGGGGGTGGGGGGGGGGTATAGCATTAGCCCTGACGGTGGGGGGGGGTATAGCATTAGCCCTGACGGTGGGGGGGTATAGCATTAGCCCTGACGGTGGGGGGTGGGGGGGGGTATAGTATTAGCCCTGACGGTGGGGGGGTATAGCATTAGCCCTGACGGTGGGGGTGGGGTGGGGGGGGGGTATAGTATTAGCCCTGACGGTGGGGTGGGGGGGGGGTATAGCATTAGCCCTGACGGTGGGGGGGGGGGTATAGCATTAGCCCTGACGGTGGGGGTGGGGGGGGGTATAGCATTAGCCCTGACGGTGGGGGGTGGGGGGTATAGCATTAGCCCTGACGGTGGGGGTGGGGGTGGGGGGGGTATAGTATTAGCCCTGACGGTGGGGGTGGGGGGTATAGCATTAGCCCTGACGGTGGGGGTGGGGGGGGGTATAGCATTAGCCCTGACGGTGGGGGGGGGGGGTATAGCATTAGCCCTGACGGTGACGGTGGGGGGTGGGGGGGGTATAGTATTAGCCCTGACGGTGGGGGGGGGCTCTGACCTGCGCTTTGAGCTGAAAGCCGAACAGAATCTGCTCGTATGACCCCGCGAGCAGCAGCGCCGCGCGCTCCGGGCCGCAGTCCATCCCGGACACACACACACACACACACGCGGGACTCCGGACAACCTCCGCCACGCGAGTGTGCGCGCGCACCCGCGCGCGAGCCCTGCCACTGGGGCCCTGGCGGGGTCCGGGCGCGAGGCGATGACGTCGGGGAGCTGCCGACTTCCCGGCCCTCCCCTTCCCTCGTGAACCTGAACCTTGTGCCCGGAAGCGGTGCGGTGCGGGAGGAGCTGTGGGGGCGGGGCTGGGCGCCGGCGGGCGGGCGGGCGGGGAGTGGGGGGGGGGGGCACGCGCGGCCGTGATTGTTGATGGAACGCTGCCCGGAGGGCACCAGGCGGCGGGCGGGCGGTGTGGGCGCGCGGGGCCGCGGACAATGGCCAGTCTGTGGATGGGAGACGTGAGTCTGCAGCGCCTCTTCACTCTCACTCACTCACTCTCTCACTCTCTCTCTCACACACAGCCCTGCACACACCGCCCCTGCCCGGGCTGCTGGGCTGGGCTGGGCCGGGCTGGGCTGGTTAGAGAGGGCAGGGGATGGGGGGGGAGAGTTTGGGGGGTGCGCTTGAGGTTTTGAATTCCTTTCAAATCGAGCACTTCTTAACGAATAATCTGCTTCACCGGCCCACCCTCCACACCACCCCCTCCCCTCCTGGATGCTGTGGTGCAATCTGATGGGGTGGGTAAGTGATCGGGTGGGGGGGTTAGTTAACCAGCCCTGCAGACAAGATCTGCCCCTTTACCCACTGCGAAGGGCCTTGTTGGAGTATACTGACGCCTGTGGTTGGCCAAGGCTCAATTTTTTTAAAAAAAATAGTTTTCACAATTCAGTCACTCCGGGGCTGTAGAATAATCAAGTGATTGCTATTTGGCCAAATGCCTTTTCTAGACATTTGACCAAATCAAGTGGTTAAAACCACTCCCCCATCACTGAGTTGCTATTGAGCCGCGCGGAAAGATCCTAAGAATCTTCTGATCGAGAATGACAGAATCTTGTCATTCCCTCTGCTGAGTTTGCTGATAAATAGTAACAAATATTATAACATTCGATCTAACGCCTTATCACATCATCGAGATGTCTCAAAGCGCTTCGCGGAATAAAGTGGATTGACTGTGCATCTTGTGGGCGGATCACAGCAGTTAGTTTGCGCACAGCAATGATGTCAGCCGTCAGCCAAGGCTGTACGAGGAGTGTTTCAGTGGTTTTGGTGCCTCTGATTAGAGATGGAAGGGGTGGAATTGGTTGTGTTTCTTCCCCAGATCAATGGGGAGTCACTGTTGCTGGACTGTTGCTATCCAGTGACTGTTCCTGGAAATTGTGCATTTTTGGACATTTGCTTTGTCCTACTATTCTCATTTGGTGAGAATAGGATTGGTACATTCAGCAATAAACTAGAAGCTAAAATACTCATTGCCTTGGCTGATACATCAACTCAGTCAGAAATGCAAAAAAGCCAACAGGTGCTTTCCCATTATGCCATCTACAGTACTGCATTTTGAATAATCATTGTTTTGACTCATCTCTATATCGCGGTACCTGACTTCCAAATATAGGCAACTCCTGCGTAAGGTTTACTTTGCATCTGTTGTAAATTAAGTGTTCTGGTCCTACTTTCTTTCTTGGCTCAGTTTAACAATGGCTGCTTGGCCAAGGGACCAGAGGACTGTTGGCGCCAGTGTAAATGTAACCCAGCATGAATGAGTCACCCACCTTAAGGAGACGAAGGGAAAGATTGTTACCATTTTCTTAAACATATCCATATATGTAATCTGAGAGAAACCACACATTCTCACCTTTACTACATGATACACTGCCATTGAATAGTTTCACATTATATAATGAAAAAAATCTTCCCTTCCCCCATCACTTAGTTGCTATGGGGTCAACTATTTTTAGTTGCTACTTTTTTTGTGGAATTTCACTACCAAATTACTTCAGTAAAACATAAGGTACTAAACTGAAATATTGTGTGCAAACTCTTGTTAAAGTTGTGAAACTAATTTACCCTTTTTTTTCCTTCCTTTCCAGTTAGAACAGTACATGGATGAAAATTTTATCAAGCAAGCGTTTTCTGCTATGGGGGAGCCCATTGTTAATGTGAAAATCATCTGCAATCGGATGACCGGGTAAGAACTGGTCGCAAGACACAATTTATCAGAGTGCAGTAACCTGTGAAAAAGCCTGTAATTTTTGTTGGGTTTTGGGTCACATTTTATATAGGCACAAGTAGGTGATACACCTTAGCGCTGAACACAGATTTCATATTAGTTGTTAGCAAATCCTGGTGATTTGCTTTGGCTTGTTAATGATAGCTATAGTATTGTATGTCTTTTGGGCAATTCAGGGTGCAATTGCATTTTTGTCAACATTCATCGGGGCAAGTAAAAAGCATCTGTATGGGAAATTCAGAACAGTTGGCATTAAGACATGCATAGTCATAGGAATGTTCATAAGAATCGTATATAAATGCAATAAAATACCTGTTGTTGTACAGGAATTTTTATGCGCATGAATTTTTTTTATTGTTCTAAAAACATTATTACTGTCCATTTGGCTGGTTCCATAGCAAAATAAACCAACTTATATAGCATCAAGAGGATGTCCCAAGGTCCTGGACAATGAAGGGTTTGCACCCCATCTGAGGGTTGGAATCAAGAGGGGTGGAGGGCAAGGGGATGGGATGGGAAGATTATCAAAGGCACAGTCAAAGAGGAATGTCTTGAGATGGATCTTGAAGGAGCCGAGGGAGGGGGCTAAAGCGGAAGGCTTCTGGGATGGAGTTCTAGAGTGTGGGAGCAGGAAGGCTGAAGGCCTGACCACCAATGGTGGAGCGGCTAGGCAGGGGACCTGGAGCAGGCCAGTGTCCGCTGAATGGAGGCAGCGGACAGATTGGTAAATGTTTAGTAGGTCACTGAACCTTTACCATCCTGTCCAATACAGTAAACCTACAATACTTTGTCACTCATATCCCTCAATTGATAGTTTAAAGCAAACCGCTATCTCATTTTCCCTCTTGAATTCACAATCTGCTTCCCAGATTAGTCTATTCCACATATTCTGTTATAATAGTAACTAAATCTGAACTGTCTGTTCATTTCCCTCATCTGGCCTTCAGTAAATGTCCTGTTGATGTGTTGGTGTCCACATGTGTACAGTAGGACTTCAGCCCTGAGCTGCAGATCAGAACTGGTGGCCGGAAAGAAAATAACAAGTTTTAATTGTAAAGAACCTTTCACGTAGGATGAACCTCGCAAAGCATTTCATAGAGACAAGGAGGAGGAAAGGAGGGTAAATTTAATAATAATAATAATCCTTGCATTTGATATAGCGCTTTTCACATCTAGACGTCCCAAAGCACTTCACAGAATATACTGTAAAGTGAATTGACTGTATATTTGTGGGAGAACGCGGCAGCCAATTGCGCACAGCAATGTCCCACAAACAGTCGTAGATTGAAAATGACCAATTTATTATTGTTTTTGGTTTTGGAGGGATTATTATTAGGCGTGTGGAGTAAGGAAACTTGCCCAAGGTTTTGCCCTCTGCCTGGAATTGAACTTAAGGGTGTCAAATAAAAGCACAGTCAAAAAGATGTTCTTTAAGTAGATTTTAAAGGTAATGAGAGGATGGAAGGTGAATGGGCCTTTGAGAAAGAGTTCTAGAGAGTGTAGGATTTGAAGCCTCGGGAGGAGAGAGTGAAGAACTTACAGAAGATCAATCAGAATGGAATAGAGCACAGGCAGGAGAATGGTGCTGGGTGCTGATAGCCAGAGAGCAAATGAATCAGCACAAAGAGGCACGTGCAGCATCGTGCAGCAGCAGCAAGAGATGAAACTTCAAGAACTCAATGTCGCCTATACTGAGTTCTCAAAAGGAAATCTGTTCATAGATCTCTGATTTGTGGAGACAGATTATTGGAAACATGGACAAGACAAAAGTCATCTTCCTTAATTGCCGCCAACGTCTCCTCGCGTCTGTCTCTGAACCTCCCTGGACCTCTCTCAAAATCACTGAACCAGTCAACTTTTTTTTGCTCAATTCAATCCTCAGCTCTCCTTGCTTCATCACATTCAATCCCTGACCAAGATTGCTTTTATATGTCTTCGCCCACCTCCATCCCTATCACACACAAAGCACCACTGAAACCCTCATTCACATTTTTCTTACCTCCTGGCTCATCTTCTCTAACACACTCCTCATCAGTCTCACTAGTTCTATTTGGCGCCTGAGCTGCAGCTTGTATCAAACTCTGCCACTCGCATTCTCACTCGCACCACTCCGCATACTCTTAATCTGTGTCACCCTCTGAGTCCCAATGGATCGACGTCAGAGTCCTTACCCTCACCTAGAAATCCCTTCACTTCCCTATCCTTGTGATCTCCTACCTCCCTCTTCTGCTCGCCCACTTTGCTTGGCTAGGTTAAGCCTGCTGTGTCTCCCACTGCGTCTCATCATGGGTGTTAGAGCCTTCAGCTACCATACTCCATCCTCAGGAACTTCCTCCCCCTACCTCTCCGTCTCACGTCTTTAAATCCCTATTTCTTCAACCACACAGTCAGCTCATCCCTGTGAAGCACTCTGACATGCACTATCCAACATGAACGACTCTATATAAATGTAAGATGTCATCGCTGGAAAGTCTTTGTAGAAATATTTTGGTTGAATTGGTTCCACTCTTGAGTTCAAGTACTGTGTGCTGCTCACGTCACCAGCAGTCCATGGTTCCACCTGGAGGCTGTTCTAAGAACCCCAGTCTGTGCCTGTTGCTGTCCGTGGTTCTGTTACTGAGTGACTTTTGTGTTTTATTACAGAACACTGGCTGGATACTGCTTTGTGGAGCTAACTGACCAAGCCAGTGCAGACCGATGTCTGCACAAGCTGAACGGGAAGCCTTTGCCAGGTTCAAACCCGGTAAAGTTTTAAGAAATCTTTATTTCACATGTTTTTGAATCTCACCTGGAGGCACTGGGTCAGAGGTTCTGAGTTAGAACCATAGACGTTTACAGCACAGAAGGAGGTCATTCGGCCCATTGTGTCTGTGCTGGGTCCTTTAGGCATCTTAGAAAGTTGTAGCATAGAAAGAGGTCATTTGACTGTTGAGTCTGCATCAGCTCTCAGAGCAAGGCTTCGAGACGCTACACTACCTCGCATGAAGGGCACTATATAACTGCAAGTTGTTTTGTTCATTCAAAGGGTACAAAACCCACATTGCAACTTGAGCTCACAATCCAGCCTGACGCTGCATTGCAGTGTTGGAGGGAGCGCTGCATTGACGGAGGTGCCATCTTTCAGATGAGACATTAAACCAAGGTAAACTGTGTTCCTATTCAGGTGGACATTAATGAGCACATTATCAAAAAATGAAGCAAATTTCTCCCTTTCTCCAGGCCATTAATTTCCCAGATAAATTGGTCATTCACTTCACGCTTGCTTGTAGGATCCTGCTGCGTGCAAATGGCTGCCACGTTTTCTGTCAAAAGTCAGTCGCTACACTTGACCATGAGATGTTTTTAATGTGTAAAGGTCTTGTAACAATGAAAGTTCTTTCTTCCCAACACTTATTTCCTTCATTTTCAATTTACAGCCTAAGAAATTCAAGTTAAATTACGCAACTTATGGAAAAAGACCAGATGGCGGGTAAGTCACTTCCTCCTTTCTAATCTTAGCTCCAGTCGTTTTCTCTATGGCTCCACTCCTCTTTCTCGTAGACTCTTGAGTTCCTTCTGCTACAGCAGGAGTCTCCAACCAGTCAATCACCACTAGGGGGCACTCTCACACATGATATAATGACAAGAGGAAGGAGTGATAGAACTGTGTTATTATTGAATCAAATTGAAAACGAACCCAGATGCACAAAGTATTTCATACATCTGGAAATAAAAATATTACCTAATGTTTAAACTGCAGTAAATATCGCTCTTGTCCTTGTTTTATTGAGCATGTGTGAGATTTTGCCTCGCACTAATCAACTGGTTGGAAACGCCTATGCTAGAGTAGAGTAACTGTTAGCTCTGCACTTACACATTTTATTATTATACTTACACTTACTGTTCACATCCACCTTGTTAAGTAATGCGGATGATATCCTCTCCACTGGCACCTGGGCTCCTGACATGTGATTGCATTCAAACCCATGTTCCATGCAAGTCACTGCTTCTACGCTCCTCGGGAGCTACTGGCTGTCTCCTTCTAGACCTCTTATTCTCTGGGATGGTTTGCAACCGATATTTCAATCAGAGAGAACAGGACAAGCCAGTATATATTTTTCCTGTCTCTCTTTCTTCGAGGTGAGCCACTCCTCACACTCAGCTTCTCTTATCATCTTTTCCCCCAAAAAAGCTTGGGTAAAATGCACATCCAGTAACCTGTTTGTGCCCTTCCCAGACCTTCCCCTCCCAATTTAAACCCTCTGCATTAAAGTATATGTGACCAACTTTGTTTCTATATGTCACCTCTATAAGATGTCACGGTTGCCCTATTTTTACAATCCTTAGTAACGAGTAAATAATATGTATATGTATAGATATATGTAATCTATATAATATTATTTAAGGGAAATGGGGAGGCCTATCCCTTTAATTAGATTCCATTTAAGAAACTACATGCAAAAGATTTTGTTGCAGAAGCTGTTTGCTAAGTCTTTGAGGTGCCCAAGTTGCTACAGTATTTGGGCTCAAGGTTGCTTGATTGACAGACAGTTAACAAGCAGCCTGGAAAGGCACGTGGGCTTTCGCGCGGGAAAAAGCCGTCGCATTTGCATCACACGGTGGGCGGAGCCACACGCCTATAAAAGCCTCGTGGTCGCTGTCTCATGGTCATCATCCGGTACGTACTGACGTGTACAGGATTACTGTAACGTCGGGTTGGTTTAATTACTTTATACTAATGTATTGTGCTGCCAGTTGTTATAGTTGTGTGTGTTAATTATATTTGATCCCATTGTTGTTTATCTTACAATGTTGTATATTTCTTATATGCAAGGTAGCCTAGGGTTGCTGGGTCTTAATAAAGAGATGTTGTTTTCTCTCGAATGTATTCACGAGTCTCTGTAATATTCTAAATCAAGAAACGGAGTAAGCACTTAGAGAGTACTGTTGATATTGGAGTTCTGGCAGTCCAAATAGACTCCGATTAGACATCCCAGTTACTGGGCATTGAAGTTAACTGGGAATACCAGTGAGTGCCTAATTCTGACTCAGTTGAGCCACCTTTGAGCAGGGATTCATACTGACAGTTAGGAGAACGCGGAGGCCACTTAGCACGAAAAGCGTTACTAAACTTTGCAGGTACAAGGAATAAAAACCATCGCTCTTGGCACCCAACGTGGGGCTCGAGGACATTGACCTAGAGCTTCGGAATTTATTTCTACTGGAGTATAAATTTAAGATGATGGTAGATCCAGGAAGCGACCGGGACAAATGACTAATACACAACATTCCGCGTTCCACGAAATATTCTGGGCAAACCAAACTCACCGACAAACACTTCCGATGGGGAAATGGCTATATGAACGAGGAGTAGCTACTACCAATTCAGTAACCCAAGAGAGAATCGGGGTCATTGGTTTAAGAAAACGCAATGACTCTGACGCAGGAATAGAATACTTAGCATATAGAGATTCAGATAGGCAGAGCCTCTGAACTGAAGAAATTGAAATGTTAAGATTTGCCCAAAGAGACAATTCTAACTACAGTAGCAGAAGTAGAGAGGGAGCAAGTTTGTTGTAGCCGAGGGAGTGCACAAGGTTAACCGACCCAAACAAGGAAAGCAAATTAAAATGGACCTCTATGTGGGTGAGCAGTGTAGGATCGACTATACTTGACTCTTTATAGCCCAGTATTGTGGTTCGAGAACGGAGATCACTGGCTAGCTCAAGGACTAGAAGATCCAATATGGAGGGTTCTTGGGGCACTGCGTGGGATACTGATAGAGAAAAAAATTTAGGATTTGTAAAATGCTTCAAGAATGGTGGCACTAAAAGAGAGAGTGTGGGGATAGTTGCGGGACCCCATGGTAGGAGACCACAGAGCAAATTTGTTAGGGAAACCTCACAAAAATACTCACTCAGTTCAAAATCTGGGGAAAAGCCCATTCTAAGGGACCAGAGGAACGTCCAATAATTGGCTCTACTCCCAAATTAAGAGCAGACCCGTTTAAATAACTGTGCAGACTATCTCCAAAAGGCACAACTGGGAGCAGCAGTCTTCTCCCTGGCATCGGATCTAATAGCAGGAATACATTTAACTCGGAAATATAGAAAAAATGCAAAAAATGAAACAGGCTTTTGAGCCACAAAAAAAATGCCTTCACAAAGACACGAGAACCAATTAACTGAAATGGATGTAACTTTGCAAGAAATACAGGCTGAGGTTGAGTTTGTCTAATCAACTTCTGCGAGCAGAAGAAATTATAGTGCAATTAAGGTTAGGAGAGGCAGGGCAGTTGTCACAAATATTGAAATTAAAAGTACATTTGAGAAGTCGGGCTCTTAAATGAGAGACCAGAAATTTTGATGAGCGCAAATTGCATGCGGGAAAGCACCCACGTGGCAAATGATAATGGCGAACCGCTGGGGAATCACTCACATACAGAAAGTGTGCTGGGGGTTACATCCTTGACTGGCACCATGCCTGAATATAAAGAAATTGAAAGCTAGTTGGATTCAGCGATATCGATAGCGAAGTTGGTCGTTTTACCGAGTAAAACTGCCTTGTAGATTTATTTGCAATCAGTAATTAATAAACGCTGGAGGGACCTGATCAACCTCGAGTGGGATAATTTGGTCATAGCGCTTAGTGAAATTAGGCGAGCAGTTGTACGAGAAAAAGGGCTTCCAGAGAAAATAGACCAGGTTAGGGTGTTAAGAAAGGGACACCCCCGAGTGCTAGCGACCCAAATCACCAAATTATTTTCAAAAGAGTTCTGAGGAGAGATGTTTCTAATGGCACTCCCACCGGATAGAAGAAGTTTTGTCCTTGCTTCTGTTGTCAATCCTCTCGACTCAGAGCACTGGGACTTAACATCTAAAAGGGCGGAAAAAGCATTACCATTTTTATTATTCGTACAATTTGTTTGATGGAAATGATAAATGGCATGACCCTAATTTTAATCACAGTAAAAATTTCAACCTGATGGCACTACCACCCATGCATGCACAGGGAGCTAAAATGGCAGAAAGTGGAATGGGACTTAAATCTCATGACCACCAGGCCAACCAAAATTATTTTCAGCCGAGAATCCGGTTGGACCCAGCAGAAAAAATTCAGAGCAGAGAATTCTCAAATCCCTATGGGTACATGATAGGAAAGGAACAATCTTCCAGTGGTTGTGAGCTTTACCAGTCGTCCCAATTATTATATGCTGAAAAATGTATAATGCTCTAGTGCAGGTAACGGTACTCGGTAAGAATGTAACAGGAGAGGAGCCTGATCAGAAAAGGAGAAGTGTGCTGGTAAAAAGGGTAGGAGGCGAGCTAATGCAAATGTATGATCAATTGGCTGAGATTACAGATGTAGAGCAATCCGAGGTACTTGCAATGAAAATAGTTGTTAATCCTAAAGGGATCATGCAAAATGCAATACTGGGATACGACTTTCTTAGAGAGGCTGATCACCATAAAGTAGTAGTTTGCAGTATGCATGTGGATGTAAACGCTGCTGAACAGAAGCAGTATATCCACAAACACAGATAGACAGAGACGAGCTTTGTAAAATTTTACAGGTTTACAGGCCGAGCATGGCTTAAACTGCATAAATTAGATTGCGGATTAATTCAATGTGAGGTTAGGATATGTGGAGGGATTCATAAACCCATTCCTCAATACCCCTTACCCAGTGACTCAATCGCTAATCTAAAAAGGAGAGATATAATTACAATATATAAATCTTCAGCAAATTCACCTCTTTTGCCAGTGCATAAGCAGATGGATGGGTCATGGTGACTAGTTGTAGACTTCCAACAGTTAAATAACGGTTAACTACCTTTACCGAAACAACAGCGGGTCAAAGCACCCATTTGAGTGAATATTTAGACAATCTTCCTAAGGGAAGATACAAAACTACCTTGGATCTGGCTAACGGGTTCTGGAGTGTCCCCTTAGCTAAAGACCAAAGGTGGGAAACAACATTTACATTCCGTGGACAGCAGTTCCATTGGAACCAAATGTCGCAGGGGTGGGATCATTCTCCGGCCTCTTTCACGAGTTGCACACAACAGATGGTGATGGAGATCCCGGGTGTCATTTGTTATGTAGATGATATTTTTTGGCCAGACGATAATCCGATCGAACACCTTAAGAAATTGGAAGGAGTGCTGGAGGTGTTCGCTTCTGTGGGGTTTAAAATAAATCTTAAAAAAAGCCAGATAGGCAGATATAAAGTAGATTTCCTTGCCCACACTGTCTCAGAAGATGGGGTATGTCTCTCAGAGGGTTATCTAGATAAAATTAGAAAAATTCTGATTCCTAAAAACAGGAAGCAATTACAAGGAATTTGGGGGCTCTGTAGTTATGCCTGTAATTATGTACCTAACTATTATGCCCTGGTAAGACCTTTATATCAAAGACTTACAAAGGAAGGGAATATAGAAGGCAGTGTAGATCTTCACCACATGCAACCAGAGCTAGAGACTCTGCAAGATGTCATTTTATTCCAATTTACTCGAGCCAAAGCTAAATTTGACTTCAAGGAACACAATCTCTCAGCTACTACTACAATTTTAGCAAAAATAAGAAATTTAGCATAGCACACAGAGGAAATTAAAATTTCAACTGCGTGTGTCAGCAACAAATCAGCAGCGCAGGGCAGAGGGAAAAAGCCAAGATGGGCTTTGTGGGAAGGACTTTTACAAGATCCCACGATGGAGTTTCACGCTCAGTTAGAAGCAGATTTGGAGTTAGAGGGCTTACTGTCTGAAAGCAGACCCCCATCGGAAGCGGTTCTTTGGGATCTGGTGCAACGGTTAATGGTTGTGTATTGTGATGGCTCTTTGCAGGAAGTCGAAAGGCTTAAATTGGCTGGTGCTGGGATTGCTATCGGTAAATGGACAGCAATGGGTTGGGAAGAGACAGAGGACCGCTCTATCCCCTGCAAAGGTATTTCGGCACAGGCTGCTGAGGTAACTGCTTTGCTGGAGGCACTTAAGCTTCTCCCGTCAGACATAAAGGAGGTCATTGTTAATGATTCAGCCTATACCTGTCAGCCTACACTGATGACTTAACTAAGTGGCTGCGGAAAATTGATGAACCATTAGGAGAAACGCTTAATCCAGAAGCAATATTGGCAACAGATCTGGGACGAGAATAAACAAAACAATTAATCCAAGTTTGTCAAACCCCTGGATACCAAAAGATGGTGTACACAATATTGTCAATAGCCGCACAGACCTGCTCGCTCGTTCTGCATGCTACTTGAACGAGCCACCACAGGCTGCCAAGGTATCAGTGAAGGGGCGGTAAACTGTGATTTTACTTCTGTCTCCAAGTTAGTTAGGTTAGCGACATTCCTGGTGTCAGGGCAAATGGACAAACGTCTGTTCTGGGTCAGAGACAAAAAGCTTCTGCTGGAGGGGGTCCAACATATACTGACAAAGGGAGATTTTAAACCAACTTATTCCACCTACGGTGCATTTGAATTAATCCAAACTCAATGCAAAAGAATACTCAAACAAGCACGTCCAAATGGGGTGCCCCTGGGAGAGGGTTTACTTAGATTTGATTGACGCTTGCCGAAAACAGCCAGAGGTAATTGCCATTTACTCGTGTTCATTGACTATGGATTTACCATAGCCTACCCCTAGACAATAACAGAGCAGCTTATCCCGGCGGATATAATAAAGTTTGTGACCCATAATCTGGCCATTCAACATAATTTACATGTACTTTACCATCCAGAGAGTTCCAGAAAAGTCAAGAGGACTAATGGACTCATAATAAAATGTCCTTAAAAAGGCATTTATCCAGAAAGGACGCAGATGGACCGAGCGAATCCCTTGGGTCTTGATGGGGCTTCACAATAGACCCCTCAGTGACAAACCAGGGCTGACACTGTTTTACTTCTTCCACGGAAGACAGATGATTACTCTGATTATGCAGACGCCAGCGGAAATCTCTATTTCGCAGCTAGAGGACATTGAAGAGTCCTTAGCTGATACTATATCTCAGCATAATACAGGTCACTATTCCAAGCACATTTGTGACTACAAGCAGGGGGATATGGTTACTTGGAAGACACATTACAGGTCCTGGAGTTTACGGGAAAGATTCCACAAACCCAGCAAAATTGTGGAAGTCCTGAATCCTAAAACGATAAAAATTCTCACTTCCAGAGGTACAACAACAACAACAACTCAGATTTATCTAGCGCCCTCCACGCCGGATGGCGTTTCAGAGCCCTTCACAGTAACAGATCCCGTGGCCGAGCCGGGGGGAGGGGGAGGAAGGTGACCAAAGGCGCGGTTGAAAAGAAAGGTCTTCAGCAGAGACCTGAAAATGGGAAGGAAGGGAGCAAGACGAAGGGAGTGAGGAAGGCAGTTCCAGAGCCTCGGGCATAGTGGCTGAAGGCACTGCTGTTGAGAGGGCGGAGCTGAGGACTTGGGGGACGAGGAGGAGGCCAGACCCAGAGGAACGAAGGCAACGGGTACTGTTTTGAGGAGAGAGGAGGTCAGAGAGGTTGGGGGGTGCAGAGAAGTGGATGGATTTGAATACAGGGCTGAGGATTTTGAAGTCAATCTTCTCTGGGACAGGCAGCCAGTGCAGTCTGGCAAGGACTGGGGTGATCGGGGAGCGGAGTTTGATGCGGGTGAGAATGCGGGCGGCAGAGAAAACAGATAACAGTTTTGATCGACCAGGTCAAACAAGTACAAGTTTGTCAAACCATTCGGATGTTGGGGAGATAACCTCTTTGTCCGGGTTCAGATATTGAGGAATGCGAGAATGTAGGAGCCATTTGTAAACTGGACTGTATAAAACCTGAAGGCGACAGTCAAATGCAATTATCAAATGTTTAATGGGAATGTGTGGAAATGGTTTTCTAAATTCTGGGATTGACCCGCTGATTATCAAAATTTAGTTTAGTGAGCAGCACTGTTTTACATAAGAATATGGTTTTTATAGTAATAACTGGCATAAGTCTTTAAAAACAAGATACTGTGTGTAAGTTTCTATCTTCTAGCCAAACTTGAAGTGCATGCGGCTTACAGAAAGAGAGAGAGAGAGAACAGCAGCAGGCGTCCTTGAAGAATGATACAACAGAACAGAAAGTTTTGTGACAGACATTTTGTTGGACTCTTGAATTCTTTCCTCCTATAGATCGTTAACAAATATGTTATTCTCCAAACATATTAATTATCAAGAGGGGGAAGGAAATGTCACGGTTACCCTGTTTTTGCAATCCTTAGTAATGAATAAATGATATGTGTATATATCTATATAATATTATTTAAAGGAAATGGGGAGGCCTGTCCCTTTAATTAGATTCTGTTTAAGAAACTGCATGCAAAAGATTTCGTTTCAGAAGCAGTTTGCAAAAGACTTAGCAAACAGCATACATGAGGTGCCCAAGTTACAACAGTATTTGGGCTCAAGGTTGCTTGATTGACAGACAGTTAACAAGCAGCCTGGAAAGGCACGTGGGCTTTCGCGCAGGAAAAAGCCGTCGCATTTGCATCACACAGTGGGTGGAGGCACGTGGCTATAAAAAGCAATGCTCGTCGCGCCTCGTGGTCATCATCCGGTACGTACTGACGTGTACAGGATTACTGTAACGTCGGGTTGGTTTAATTACTTTATACTAATGTAGTATTGTGCTGCCAGTTGTTATAGTTGTGTGTGTTAGTTATATTTGATCCCATTGTTGTTTATCTTACAATGTTGTATTTTTCTTATATGCAAGGTAGCCTAGGGTTGCTGGGTCTTAATAAAGAGATGTTGTTTTCTACCGAACGTATCCACGAGTCTCTGTAATATTCTAAAACAATTAAATTAGACAGCCCAGTTACCGGGCATTGGAGTTCACTGGGAATACCAGTCTGAGTGTATAATTCTGACTCGGTTGAGCCACCTTTGAGCAGAGACTCACACTGACAGGGTTAGGAGAACACATAGCCCACTTAGTACAAAAGTATTACTAAAATTCGTAAGTACAACAAGGAGTGAGAACCATCGCAAAGCACATACACGTCTGTAGAGAAATGTCAGCACATCGGAATCACTTGGGATCATGTGTGATGCACAAGCTTGATACTCTGGAGAAACGTTTAATTATTACAGACTTTTCTTGTTTCTTCCACTTGTGTTTCTTCTTTCCTCAGTTAGGGTGCACATTCTTCCCATTTTCTTGTAATGGCTTTTGTTGTGTCCATGGTTCGACCTGCCTTTCACTGTGATCTGTCTTTACAGCCAGGAGTACTCCATATTTGTGGGAGATCTGACTCCAGAAGTTGATGACTTTGAACTCTACCATTACTTTGTGAAAAAATACGCTTCTTGCAGAGGTGGAAAAGTGGTGCTTGATTCACGTGGGAAATCCAGGTACGGTAACCTTCTAGACAAAGCATCCTGCTCTAGCACCCCACAGAACCTCTTGTTTTAGCACTCCACAAACAAAAGGGGACAAATTCTATCTAGGTCTAGATTTACTCTACTTTCTTAGCATTTCAAAGAGTCCAGAATTTGGCAAATTCTTAAATGCTGCCTTAATTTTTATATTTATCTTCTAAAGTTCTAAACTTTCAGAAAGCCAGTTTGAAAATTAAGGCAGTGTTTAAGAACTCACAAAATGCTGCACACTATCAAATGTTACAGAGATTAAATCTAGAATCCGGTGGTTCCCACACCTCAGCCTCCTGCTGTAGCACATTGCAAAAAAAAACCTTTTTGCAGGAAGAAATCAAAAATTATAATATTTCCAATTATCACTGTTGTTTCGATATTTGCTAATTGAGACAAATTTGTTGTGCAAAGTATTAAGGAAACGTTGTTCTGTGTCACTTTCCCATTTTGACAGAGGCTTTGGGTTTGTCCGGTTTGCTGATGAAGCGGAGCAGAAGAAGGCTCTGGACGAGTGTCAGAGTGGCAAAGGGCTGGGAGAGAAGCCAATCCGGATTAGTATAGCGGTGCCCAAGAGGTGAGACTAGCGGCTTCCCAGCGGAACTCTACGTTTTACTGCCCAAGAGTAGGCAACAATTCCCCACCTCGCCCCACGCTATCGCTGCTGTGTGCAATCGCTCCCCATCCCCCTCTCTCCCCTCACCCCGCCCCCTCTCTCCCCTCACCCCCCCCCCTCTCTCCCTCACCCCGCCCCCTCTCTCCCCTCACCCCGCCCCCTCTCTCCCCCACCCCGCCCCCCTCCCCTCACCCCGCCCCCTCTCCCCTCACCCCCCCCCTCTCTCCCCTCACCCCGCCCCCTCTCTCCCCTCACCCCGCCCCCTCTCTCCCCTCACCCCGCCCCCTCTCTCCCCTCACCCCGCCCCCTCTCTCCCCTCACCCCGCCCCCTCTCTCCCCTCACCCCGCCCCCTCTCTCCCTCACCCCGCCCCCTCTCTCCCCTCACCCCGCCCCCTCTCTCCCTCACCCCGCCCCCTCTCTCCCCTCACCCCGCCCCCTCTCTCCCCTCACCCCGCCCCCTCTCTCCCCTCACCCCGCCCCCTCTCTCCCCTCACCCCGCCCCCTCTCTCCCCTCACCCCGCCCCCTCTCTCCCCTCACCCCGCCCCCTCTCTCCCCTCACCCCGCCCCCTCTCTCCCTCACCCCGCCCCTCTCTCCCCTCACCCCGCCCCCTCTCTCCCCTCACCCCGCCCCCTCTCTCCCCTCACCCCGCCCCCTCTCTCCCCTCACCCGCCCTCTCTCCCCTCACCCCGCCTCTTGATACAGCCGTTTATTACATTGTCGAAATGTCTCGAGGCACTTCACAGGATGTACTGTTAAGTGCAGTGACTGTATTTTGTAGGCGAGCAAATGAAGCGATGATACAGTAGTTCTCAATGTCTCTGTCCTTAGGACCTTTACTCCCTGCCACCTGCTGACACTGTCCCTCAGTGACGACACAATCCTGGTTATGTTCATGTTAATAGGCACAAGTTTGGAAATGATGGTTCCACAGCTGCAGATAATGAAACTGGTTTCTGGTTGACTGTGGTTAACTGATACTTAGTATCCAGTATCATTGATACTGAAGTTCACAGCTTGTCTGATTTGCTGGTATTTAATTACCTGCTTCAGGCTCCTTCTTTCTTCACTTCATTCTGAATATCCCAGCAACATGGCCTGTTATAGTAACCAGCAGGAGTTTGTAGATGCTTCTGGAAATGTGAACTGGTATTGGCAGAGGTGAGTTAAGGCTCTCGCACTGAACGTGCCTGGGCTCCTCTGTAAGTTGACTCTTAACGGATGGTGAAGGCTTCTTGTTTCTTTTGCAGACCTGTGTTCCCAGCTTTGCTTCATTTACACACATGGCTGAGGTCCCAGCTTCCAGTATTTGGAAAGCTCTGGGTCTGCCCATGTGCTACAGAGTCATTTGCTGTTGCTGAGGTGACTGACCTCTTTTTTACTTCTTGGTGACCTGCTGCCAGGAAAAGTGGTGGTTTAATGTCTCACCTTCCTTGTAATTTCAGTGCAAAAAGCAAACCAGAATACCAGCCGAACCCGAGCTATAATTACTCTCAGTATTACCAGCAATATCAGAACTATTACTCTCAGTGGGGCTATGATCCCTACGGGAGTTATAACTACAGCTACCCACCCTATGGCTCCCACGAGGGACCCAACATGACCTCCACAGCGCCCAGTGCTGAGATGCCACCTCTGTCCGAGGTAAAGTGTTTCATTTTTCCTTCATGCCTTTAATTCTGTGATTTCTATATCAATTGGGAACATGAAGAGTTTTTTTTAAAAAATGTATTGAAATAACAAGACTGTGGTTTAAATCTTGTGCCCCTGGGATTTATTGCAAAAACCCACCAATAAAGTGTTTTGTTTAGTTTCAGCAAAATTCCACGCTTGCCGAGGAAACTGAAGAGGAACCCGTGGAAGGCAAGCTCAAACCTTCTTCTGTTTGTTTTCTCACTCATCTGTCTTCACAAAGTGCTCTCACACACTCCATGATGGTCGGGAGCTAGACACCACAGACATCACTTCCTGCATCGTAAAGGAGGGAGAGAGGGTGTGTCAAAGGGGAGGAGGAGGAGAGAGACTCAAACTGCACAGAAATTGATACTACCAGCATCACATGCATATTGTGCAAGAAAGAGAGTATTAGTCGCTGCAGCCTTGCGACTCTTCAGTCTGCAATTTTTGTTGTTGACAAGATCACTAAACATCACAAAACTCTAGGGGGAAAAATTAAAATAAACATCTATCCCTCAAATAAAAAATCAAACCAGCATTCTGAACTAGAAGCAATGATTGGATAAGCTAGGAATGTATGAAATGCAATGTTCTTCAGCCTGAAAGATATCTCATATTGTGAAGGTATATGTAAGATAACAGTGATCGCAACTCTGGGTTTGTTATTTTAAGAACTGTTTAAAGATTTAAAGAATGAAGTGTTGATGGACTTCTGTCTGTCATGGATAGACTTAACATCTGTAAAGTGGTTTCTTTTATCACACAATCTAGTTTTGGAGTTGTATTGCAGTCCCAGGTGCTGTGTGATGAATTTTTTTTTGTTTCTTTAAAGTGGTTGGAACTGTCATTCTTTAACTGCTTCCATTTGCCATTTTATATAACTTTTAGAATGTATTGTTTCTTTTGAAGCTGTTTTTTTTGCTCTGTCGAGGTGGGTGGGTCGGTGTGTTCTTGTGTTCTCACTGGAGTGTTGTTCCTCTCTTCACCCCCCCTCCCCACGCACAAAATCTTTCTAAAGAAAATACTTTGAGCTGATTGGTGTTATAATGATGTCTAATTATCCCACAACCATGCTTTTGTCAACTTCTACCTCCATTTCTCAAACACACCATCAAGGTTCAATTTGTACAAATTCTGCCACTGTGTCCTCACCAGCACAGAGCTCCCTGGCTCCAAAAATCAGTTTTCACGATTCCTTCAATCCCTAGCATCTCCTTCAATCCATAGCACCTCACTGACCTGCGGATACAAGCCTGCTGAGTGTACCCTGATTCCATGCATGTCCACGGCCATCTTTGGTGCTTCAGTCATCCCTCCCCTAACCTCAGAACTCCTTGCCTCTGTTTCTACCTTGTCTCCTCTGTCTTTAAATTTCACTACCTCTTCAACCATGCCTACGGTCACCACACTCTCTCACATAGTGTCCATCCCTGCTAATGTGCAGCAATCAGGTGCTATTCTGCATGAAGGGAGTGCTATATAAATGCAAATTGTTGTAATTGCCATTTTTTGGCAAACCAGATTTGTTCCCTGTTCCTATTGCAAATATCAGTTTGCAAGATTCCTGAGAGCTGCCAGTCTGGTGGGAGTGAGGGTGGGGTGAAATAACAGAAAGGTCTGTCACTTTACTTGCTGTTTATTTGGGATAATGCAACCAATTTATCAGTAGCCCCAAATACATGCCGTATTAATGGCCTGCCTGTCTTGGGCACTAATGGCCTGGCTTTGTGCAGATTCAATAACAAAATGTTTGAAAGTTGTTGGTGCGAATTGTTCTGTGTGACCTAAACCAGTGAAACGATGGTTTGGTTTTCTATCTAATTTGGTTCTTTCATTTTTAAAGATCCAGATCCTAAATTGGACGTGGAGGAAATTAACAAGCAATTTATGGAACAAAGTGAAGAGCTCTATGATTCTCTAATGAACTGTCACTGGCAGCCCCTGGATACCATCACCTCTGAAATCCCCACTGCCGTATAAGCCTGCTCCACAAGAAGTCTATTTTTGTAAATTCTATTTCCTGAACTTAATCTCAGTAGTTTTTTTTTATTATTTCTGTTGTACCTTGAGTCTTCACTTCTGTTGAAAAATGTTCAAAGGTCTTGGAAAGTTAATATTTGCAACTGGTTATGTTTTTTCAAAAAACATTTTCTGTGAATTATTTTACTGGCTTTATTTTAAACCAGTCCTTTTGCTTGATGGATCTGAGGAATAAATGATCATCTGTGTTCTGGAGCATGCTATTTTATTTTTGTGTCTGGAAGGTTTGAATCTTGGTGGCTGAATGTGTAAGGAACAACTGCTGCAATGAGCAGAGCAGTCAGCAAATGTAGTAAATGGTGCATGTATGAGGTAGCACAAATAATTTCAAGTCCTGCCTCAAGACCCTCCTCTTTGACCATGCCATTGGTCACCCCCCTTTCCCTCCTTGACCCCAGCTCAGGTCTGAAAGGCTGTACACTGTCCAGCTCCTTGAGACATCCTCCCAATGTGAAAGGCCCAAATGTAATCTTCTTGTTATCCTTACATTTGTAATGCACCACTTTATATTCTGTAAGTACTTTGTTGTCTCAATGACAACAATACAATACAAATTTATATTTATGTAGCACCTTTCATGGTAGGAGGTGTCCAATAACACTATATCACAAGCAAGTATTGTGTGTTTCACCCACAAATAGTTCACTTTACATTATATTCTGTGATGTGCTTAGAGGTGTTTCACAGATATGATAAGGCACTATATTATAGTCCAGTATCATGTTAGTCTGAGTGCTTCACAAGATTCACTCTAAAGTGTAGTGACAAGTTATAGGCAAATGCAGCAGTGAAACAGATTTTTGGATGAAGTGATAAGGTGCCATATCAATATTTCCATTATTATTGCTACATTCTTCAAAGCCACAAACCATTTATTGAATATGGTTCTGTACTCTCTTTCACATAGGAAATGCCAGATGAAAAAAGACCAAGGTCCATCTAGTTCACTTTCCTGGCAGTTGTATGTGCATATTGTCCAAACTACCTATGTACTATATCCCATAATGTTATTTCCTAAAAGAAAACTATCTAATCTGTTTGAAAGAATCAAAGAGTGTAGAATTCCTGCTTCAACTTTTTCCCCAGGGAACCTGTTCCACAGGTTCAATATTTGCTCTTATCATAATAGTAATCCTTGTATCTGACATAGAGCATTATGTCATTGGGATGTCTCAAAATGCTTCACATGATCTACTGTAGAGTGGTTTACCTGTAATATTTTGTGGGTGAAAGGTGGCAGCTAGTTACTCACAGCAGTGTCCCACAAACAACCATGGCGTGAGTGACCAATTTTATTTGGGGAATTGTTGGCCAGGACACTGGAAGAAACTCACTTCTCTTTTTGAATAGTGCCATGGAATCTTTAACATCCATCTGATCAGGCGAACAGGACCTCAGTTTAACGTCTCACCTAAAGGATGGCACTTTCAACAATGCAGCACACCCCGCCACTGCATTGGAATATCAACTTAGACTAATTCCTGACGTGGGCCTTGAACCCGCAACTTTCTGATTCAGAAACTAGCTTACTACCCACTGAGTCACGCTGACACCTATAACAGTACCATTGGAATTTCAAGGAAATTTTTATTTTTCCCACTTAAGTGTATTGGTACAAATGGTTGGAAGATTGAAATGCCATTCTTAAACCTATTCCGTATTTCAGAAATCCTGTGCTTGACATCTGAACGTTAACAGGTTAAAAAGCCCACCTTGGATTCTGGTTTATTGGGATTATCTCGAACACCAAAAATAGCCTTTCGGATTTTGTTCAGATGATATTGCCCTCAAACAATGTCCTGTCAAATGCAAAGGCTCTTTTGACATTTTCAAAATAGCACACCTCTCCTGCCACCCACCATCCCCTCATTACTGTTAATTTGTATCAGTCGATCAGGGAAAAACCTATTCCAAAAGTCTCGCATATCCACAAAGTATTTGATAGCGTTTTTACGATGATTGCTCAAAATGCATGCATTCAATGAATGAGCAGGACACATGAGCAGTGTGATGGTGATGCGAGTGCTCTGTCCTGCTGCAGATCTCGTGCTTGACCACCTGAGGGGGATAAACAAACATACAATCTCTTATTTCAGGTTTTCAGTAAACTGCAGTTCCCACCACCTCCAGGAGGCTGTTGTCTCTGATCACCTGTATTAAGTGAACACCAACCTGTTCAAAATGAACATCTCAAATGACATTGGTTATGATGATCAGGATCACCCTGGCTCACTGGGTAACATTCTTGGCTTTGAATCAGAAGGTCGGGGGTTCAAGTCCCACGTCAGGAATCGCAGTCTAAGTTGACATTCCAATGCAGTGGCACATCAAGACTGGCCACTGAGTGACACCCTCCCCTCCCCATGGCTCTGATTCCATCTCAATGGTTGGGAGGTGAGCAAACACCCCTTATTGCGCACATACATGACATCACTCATGGGAAGTGCACAACTCACATCCATTTCTAATTCCTGCAGGAAGTTTGCTAATGGCTCAACGGTTGCTAAGGCTCAACAGCCCATTGCCACACTTAAGTGCTCCTTACAGGATCCATTTGCTCTGCACCCAGCCATTGGCTATCTCTGAAGCTTCCTTAAAGGCTGGGAGCTTCATCTTTTCTGTGCCACATGTAAAATAACAGCACAATTGCACAAGTGGTATTGGAAGTGCCGTCCTTTGCATAAGACATGAAACCAAGGGTCCCATTTGCATGTTAAAGACCCCATAATACTATTTGAAAATAGAAGGGGGTTTCTCCTGGTGTCTGACCAACAAATTCCCCCAAATAAAATGGATCATTCACTTCATGGTTGTGCGCAAAATTAGCTGATGCATTCACCCACAAAATACACAGTCACTGCACTTTACAATATATCCTGTGAAGTATTCTGGGACTTCCTTCTGAAATAAAAGGCATTATCATTATACCAAATGCAAAGATTATTATTATTAATTATTATTAGACGGTAAAATATTCTGAGCACACAACTCATCACCTTTCTCATCTGGCTAACGTTGGCCTTTAAACGTGTTTTGAATTGCCCCATACATGGCGCAATGGCCTTGGATTCGATAGCCACTTACAGTAAAGCATTTTGTTATCCTAATAAACCTCTGAGTAAAAAGTGTGTCATACTTTCCACCTCCCCCCTCCACAACACCCCCACCCCTCCACCCCCCAATTGTTCCAGTGCCCGTATTGAATTTACACCCTTGTTACTGATTCACCAACCAATAGGAATAATCTTTCACTCTCGTCTCAGAAGTTTTCAGAATTATGAGGATCTTTGTTAGATCCCTTATGGATTGTCTGTTCCATTGTAACAGTACTCCTTTTCTCTGAAACAGTGCATTGAAATGTAGGGTGGGAGTTGACATTCCAATGCAAACACTTTGAATTGCCTCACTGATGTGATAAGGCGCTATATCAAATATAAAATGCAATACAAAATTACATTTGTCTAGCACCTTTCACGTTGGGAGGATTTATTTTATTTATTTTGCAAAGATTTACTTTATTTTTACTTATTCTACATGAAATTACTGGAATGAATAGATGATTAGTTTCCGAATACGTTTCTTTAAAAGTACAGTCAAACCTGTTTTCAGCAACCACTTGGACCAAAGTGGCCTTTATGTCATTGGTCATTTTCAATCCACAACTGTGGGACACTGCTGTGCGCAATTGGCTGCCGCGTTTGCCCACAAATATACAGTCAATTCACTTTACAGTGTGTTCTGTGAAGCGCTTTGGGACGTCCTCCCGATGTGAAAAGCGCTATATCAAATGCAAGGATTATTATTATTATTCTGTGAAGCGCTTTGACATGTCCAGAAGACGTCAAAAGCGCTATATCAAATGCAAGGATTATTATTATTATATTATTATTATGTAAGAGTCTGAGTAAGAGTTTGTTGGTGTGTGTAGAATTTCTAAGTTTATAGAAAAATACAGTGCACACACAAATTTAACAATCAAACTAGCTTTAACAAAGTAATAAATCAATTACAAAATACAAATCATTTCTGTTTCCCCAGGCCAAACATTTCTGCAGGCCCTAGTGCACGCCAACACTGCAGCCCATCAAACCAGATCTGGTTGCTGAAAGAGTTGTCAGTACACTGACAGGATTGAAACAGAATGGCCATTCATGTGTTAAACAGGGGCTTGCTGAATAGAGTTGGTTTATTATGGAAAATCAGTCCGGACTGTTCCAGGGTAATTGTTGACAGCCGATGTTTGCTTCAACAGATTTGACTGTATAAATATCCTTTGATTCTAACCTGTTTAAAATGGTATCTGCTTTAAATTGCAAAAGATATAGATAGAGTTTCCCTGCACATTCCTTGTTACACTTCCCTGGTTTCCCATTGTGATAGATTATGTACGGTGGCTGGTTAATCATCTGTAACAATCTGTATCATTCTGCTCTCATCCCAAAAGACCATCAGTGGATGAAAACATAGAGATCAATATTTCCTGACAAAGATGCACACTAAAGGATTCCATACCTCCCATTTATGTCCTTGTTGTGCAGCGATATTTATATCTGTGTGTAATTTAATTCTCTAGAGCTTGGTCAGACAGTTTTTATTAAGATAACTGAATGCATGAAGCTGACCCTTTTGTTAGGATGAGAATTGTTTGTATCAGAATATCAGCATCACTCTTGTTCCTAGTCTCAGTAGAGTAAGTGAGTGATGACATTTTCCATTTATTGTCGAAAAATTCCAAGTGTTGGTGGTGAAAGGCCAAAGTCCATGTTTAGTGCTTTGTAGATAAACATACTGTAAAGATCTCTCTCGCGGTCTGGTGAAGCACACTGTAGGTGGTGTCCCCATATATCTCCTGACAATATGTTACTTTTGGTACAATAAGATTATATTGTTCTGTCAAATGTAACTGAACTTATCCTATTGCTCCAAGCTCCTTGATTCTATAATAATAATAATAATAATAATATATCCTCGCCCCATCCTACCTCTGCGATCTTCTAACCCCCTACCAACCCACCTGATCCCTCCGTTCAGCCAGCTCTGACCTGCTCCACGTCCCCCGACCCACCCGCCCCACCCGCCCCACCATTGACAGGAGAGCCTTCAGCCACTCTGCCCCCAACCTCTGGAACTCCATCCCCCAATCTCTCCGCCTTGCCCTCTCCTTCAAGTCCCGCCTCAAGACCCGCCTCTTCGAC